ATGTACTATATTAATATATTATTATTCTAATTATTATCATTATTATTATCACTATTATTCTTATTCTTATTCTTATATCATTACTACTATAACTATAACTATGTCACTGAGATCATTTCGGAGTATTTTACGATGAGAATCTCATACCTTTAGTGCTGACCACTGCCTATCGGTGAAAAGGAACACAACCTGGTCAGGAATAAAATGAGCTAATCCCCAGAAGAGTAAACCACTCAGCCAACTGACGTCCGAATGTGTAACACAACTGATCATTGTCTTGCTGAATTGAATGATGATAAATGAGGAGTCCACAGAAAAACTGGGCAAATTCCCAAACTGAAAATCGTGAGGGTATCAATTTTGAACACCTGTTGACTCATAACTGTATTTCTCTTCAGCTGTTGGTTGATTATTGTTGTTAGATTTCCCATCCAACAAACATACAAAATAAACCACCAAACAAACACACATGAAGTTATGAGTCCATAAGCTTTTAATATTGACACCCTTACAATTTCCAGTTTGTGACTGTGCTCGTTTTTTCAGTCGACTCCTCAAATACGAATAGGATGGATTCCCTTACAGGGCTGCTCCATGTTTGTCCTTCACTCTTCCCCACCCAAAATTTCGGGTTTTTTTCTTTTTAATTTCTAAACTGGAAATTTCGAACAAAAAGACAAAAAGAAAAGAAAACAACAAAAACAAAGCGTCAAAGTTGACAGTAAAATCAAAGTCCCTTATTAAGTTAAGTAAAAAAAATCCAAGTAAATGCCATAGTAGGCGTTTTTTTTGGTGTAAAAAAAAAAAAGAAAGAAGTGTGCTTACAGCAACAGGTTTTTATCTATTATATTCTTTAAGTACTATACCCATCTTTTATTATGGACTTTAGTTCCTTCATTATTAAGACAGTATGCTATATAATGAACAACATTGGAAACCTTTTTTTTTTTTTTTTTTTTTTTTGCATGGAAACCTTTGTCCATGCACTGGCTGGTGTTGGCAATTCAAGGGAATTAAACAAGGAATAATTAGACTCCTCCCATTCAACTACTCTTGATGCTGGTTAATTCCTCTGATCAAAATACTACTCCAGTTTGAACTAGTAGCGGGCGGTTCCCGATTAATGCAAACTAGGAATCACAGGAATCGAGTCCAAATCCATTTTCTTTCCACTGTTGTGACTTCTTCTGGGTGTCAATGACTTCTTCCAGTGGTTCCTACCCCAATACAATTACATGATTACTTCCGGCAAAGTAGCAATTACTTTCGATGAATCCAATACCTAGCCAGTTCCGGTTATCTAGTTGGCTTCAAGCAGCTTGTTCAGGATCCAGGATAACTTCGATTTCGAAACACGGCGAGGCACCAACATTTTTCTTTTCAAAAATATGTTTTAAAACTAGAAGAACATTTTTATAAATATAGTAATAGGTAACAGTTGGTTCATGTAAAAAAGAATTGGAACTTTTCCTCAGTAGCACTAACCGCGAGAATCGGTTCCCGAATCGATTTTTCATCCAGCTCTAGTTTGAACTTGACCTAACACTTAACTATTAATTAGCCACAGCTTCAGTAAAAATAAATACACGACTTTCAGATTAATTAAAATTTAAAATAAATCCATCTCCAAGAGGTCAGACAGGATACATTATTATTATATTTATATATATATATAATAAAAATTCTGTAATTCAAAATAGTTAGGTTAAGACACAAACAGTTTGGAACCTCAGAGGCCTGCATCATAACCTACATACAATCCAATCATCACAGATTACGACATGCCTCAGACAATATACTTGAACAAAAACCCAGATGTGCTTGATCTGATCAAATAAGCGTCGAAAATTTGTGAACATCGTTCTGCCCCTCACATCACAGAATACCAGTCATTTCGTCACACGATCATCTCGTCACACTGGTGCAGTCAAGACATTACAGTCATCTCGTCACGGGGTCAAATCAACAAGGATTTCGTCACACACTAGCAAACATCAATATATAGGGCATAGGCTCTCTTGGGCTCGTATAACAATTTTTGAGAGACAATGGAAATCATTTCGTCACACATAATTGGGGAGTGACGAAATAACCCGTTACCACATCACAGATCATGCTCTTTTCTGAATGTGCTCTAAGTAGTTATTATAATTATTCATTAAACACCATGATCGCAGGATCGATATCCGAAACAAAATATTCATTCATTCAGCACATATAAACAATTTTAGAAAAAGCGAGTCTACCCAGGTCCTAAATACTCCTAGTCCTACTCAACTCATTATAAGCCAAAAAAGTTCTCCTCTACATTTCACCATTTCTCATCTTCATCTCCAGCTCAGCATCAACAATAACGTAACGGTAATGCGAAGTGGCTAGCCGTAAAAGTGGCTAGCAGTAGCCGTCTAGCCAGCACTGGTTAAGATTTGCTGTCCCGCCGCCATGTTGGTTTGTTAGTATGACAGGTTATAGCTCTATATTTTTAAGCTTAAATAAAATCCTCGTTCCGCGCACTTTCGGGGCAGCAATCAGTTGCAGTGGGATTCTTGCTGTTAGAAAAAATCTAAACCTGTGTCGCATTTGAGTTGCTGATATTAATGTAAACAAATCAACATGGCAGCAGGACGGAAAATCTTAACTAGTGCCGGCTAGAATGCCAGTCTAGCCATACTTAGGTTAGGCCCTATTAACCAAAACCTGTTGAGAACACAGGTCTCATTAGATCTAGTAATTATTCAGGTTTAAAAATACATATAGGCCTATATGTACTGACAGTAAGGCACCTTTTGGTTTCGTCTCAAATACAAAAGCGTTGGGTATTTGCATTGCAAACTAAAAATTTATTTACAGTTCAGTAGTAGCCCCTTTTTTTTATGTTTGTCAGTCTAGCCATCATTATTAAGTGTATGGCAAGCCCAGCCGTCTAGCCGTCATTAAGAAATGCAAGCCTCTACTCAAGCACCGAGATCTTAGGCAGGCTTCTGTGTGTTCATCCTCCTATTTAGGCTATAAATACTGTCTTATATAAGTAAAACATCATGGGACCCCTTTGGAGAGTCAAGAAGCCCATTTTTTCATTGTTCACTGTTCATTGTTTCAGGAAACAACATCCCTGCACTCCAGACATGTCTATTGATGCTCCATTGCTCTCTCCAAAATGTAGCAGAGGGTCCTTCCACTGATTGTGTCAGTGCATTCTGGTTGAACGTTCTTCTGTTCTTTCCTGCAAGGATGCCAGATTTTCCGCTTCCCTTTTTGTATCCCCAAAAGCATCATCCTCTCCACGGCAGTACTGGCCTCTGCCTCCCTATCTTCCTCCTCAATCAACTGGCGTTAAGGATCTCGACCCTATCTGGTTGAACCGTATTGTCAACTAAGGTGGCCTCACCAGCCAATCTGTCGGCTTTTTCATTTCCCCTAACACCTGCATGGCCAGGGCAGAAAATCCATGTGAGCGATCGTATGGGCGTTGGTTCGATAGCTTGAATCAATTCTGTGGCTGTCTGTAATAATAAAAGGATTATATGCAACTAGGGCCTAGAGCCTATTAGATAGCTAGGCCTATTTTATTCACACATAGGTCTATATACTGAGACCAGAGTCCAGAAACATTTTAGTACCTACCTATTTTAGGGAGGAATTCTGTAACGAGCAACCACTATGAATCAGAGTTGAATAGAGGGGTAAGGGTTTGGGGTAGGGTTAGGGTGTGGGGAAGGGTGTAACGGTTGGGTTAGGGTCAGAGTTAGGGTTTGGGGTAGGGGTAGGGTTAGGGATATATATCTAGGTCTCTTGGCGATTTTGTAGTTTCGTTCGTTAAAGTACAAAGCTGAACGCCAGAGACCCTGAATTGCCAGGTAATTGTTGAGGAGAAAAATTCAAGCAAAGAATGGCCCATTTTAGGCAGTTCCCATCCCCAATTATTATTCGCCGGTTTGGGCCCCAAGAGTCAAGAGTAGGGAGGTTTCAAGGGGGCTTGCCCCTCGCCCTCAGACCTAATTTTATCAGGGGGGGGAGGGGGGGCATGCCCCCCTGAATGCTGAATTTTAATTTTACCATAATTAATAATTTGATATTTTGAAGTTAGGATGCACCCCTGTTCTTTGTGTTGCCTTTTTGGTCATCAAGACTTCCGAATTTCTTCTCTGGAGTTGTGGACTTTAACGAACAGAACTACAAGATCACCAGGTCTCTTCTTATATTTGTTGGGGTGGTCGCTCGTTACGGAAGTCCTGAAGAGTCCCTATTTTACTTAATTTTAATACTGTTTTATAGCAAATGGGACATAGATCTATATCTAGATCTATTTACTAATCTAAATTAAAACATCGTTATGTTATCTGCATTTTTTCCACATCCTATTTGCAACTTGAACAAGAAAAGCACTGAAGACAAATGCAGTGAACAGTTGTTGTATAGCCCACCTTCTCCATACTGTGTCTAGAATCTCTACATTAATTTTACGCATTCATTAGATACGAGAAGGGACACTGGCTGCAGAGGACAACTTCCGGGTCGGGAGAAGATGATGTTCGAATAAATGAAAATATCTTCGGCTTCCAGGAAGCAGCTGGCACTGGTACACGAAGCTCAATGATGAAGCAATGAAAATGTGTATTCCGAATCTTTCCAAACATTTTTTGTGAATAATAATGTAGCCTATGGGGGTTTTTTTTCTACGACTGATGTGAACTATACCAGGACATTTACTTTCAAATCGGCCATTATGAATTGAAAATAACGCAATATCATTTCTACGAAGCATAAACTTATTTCAAACCGCTTTGACTTGCATTCTACAAAAACGTAAAATTGAATAAATTTGCCAGGAAAGTACATTCTTTTTAGATTTTAATGAAGTAGAAAACACATATTTTGCTCTAGATTTTGCTATTTTATGCTGTGTATGGTTGCTATCAAATAAATGAAACATTTCTAAAAAAAATTAAACCCTCATAATAAATTTGATAACCATTTTTGAATACCATCAATGTTTTATTTGTTTCCAAAGGATGAGGTGAATAGTTTAGCTATAAAAATCTGGCAATTTGGCGCAACAATCTATTCCGAATGTCTAAAACAACAGTGGTGGGGGACTTTACCTGCGTCCAAAACCGATAGCAGCTGCAGTTAAAGTTGTCTTCTCGACGTATTGCGAGGTAAACTGAGTACTGTTTTACCAGTTGTTTATGTAAGAGGTTCCTGAGTGGAGAGATGCTATGGTGGTTTCTTAAACTTAAACTTAAGCAGACTGAGTTGAGAACCATGGCGGGCCAGACAATTGTCTCAATTATTTTCCTGCCCCGGCCTGTGCACAGTTAAGCGAAAAATCTTTGTCAAGTAATCTAGATCTAGATCTAATGATTGGTTGGTTAAATAAAAAGTTGTTTGGTTTACCAATAAATTGAGCGAGCAAAATCTTCTCGACCAAGAAATCTTGATGGAGCAGCAGGGATAAAAAGTCTGCACTCCTGTACAATTGCGGTCCCGTTTACGGTTTAGGAGGGACTCGCTTTAACCCCACCACGGATTACTTCTGGTTCTAAACGATTACTTTTTGATGCGCATGCAAATAGGCCTATGGAGAGATAGCCAATCAAACTTAATTGCAAAATGTCAAATTATGGATCGAATTTATTCAAATGGAAGAGGCTAGCCGTACTTAATCATACTTAATGACGGCTAGACTGGCAGTCTACTAGCTGTACTTAGATCTAGGTTTGGCCCTATCGACTGAAACCTGTTAAGTACACAGGTCTCATTAGATCTAGATCTAGTAATAGTAATTATTCAGGTTCAAATACATGCAAGTCAGGAAGGCACCTTTTCAAAAGGCTTTTGGTTTTGTCTGAAGAAATACAAAAATACTTTAGATTTAGGCATTGCAAACTAAAAATTTCATTTACAATTCAGCCATCTATATTAAGTACGGCTAGCCAAGAAGTCTAGCCGTACTTATCTTAGGCCCGATTAACATTAGAAAACAGGAGGTTTAAAATACATTCACTGTCATTAAGGCACCTGGTTTCGTCTCAAATAGAATACTTTATTAAGGTACTGCCAACTAAAAATTTATTTACAATTCAGTAGGCCTATTTTTTTTTTATGGTCAGTCTAGCCATCATATTAAGAATAAGTACGGCTAGCCCAGCTGTGTAGCCGCACTTAAGTACGGCTAGCCAACCTGTCTAGCCATACTAAAACTCATTCGCTACGTATTATTTTCGGCTTGTGGACTAATTTTTTTAGGGAGAGCGAATGAGAAGATGACTAGTGGGCAGTTAAAAGGTCTTTGTAGACCTGCATGTTTGCCGACAATCGTCTGAAATCCGACAATCGCGAACCGGCCGATGCTATCGCTAGACCCGCCTGTATCATTCAATGTGCGTAGTGCGAGGCCTGGCCGACTGCCAGCGACCCCTTTTTCTCCCGTCGGCTTCGTCGGCACTTTCGTTTTCGTGCCGACCGCCGACGCGCGCACCGCCGACTGCCGACGTCGGCGTTTCCGACATAATTGTCAGAACCTAAGTAGAAATGCAAATACGAAAAAGGACGACAACCTAAATTATCTAGGCCTACTGTACTTTCAGTTTCATGCTCGAGCGGCCATTTTGAATTTCGTTTGTTGACTAATTCAATTGTTCAGATCGTGTGGATTCATCATTCAAGTCCGACTCTCTTGTTCTAATGTAGATCTAGATTTATATAGATCATTATAGTTATAGACCTCAATGAAGGATTCATATTCCAATTCTATTGTGTCAAATCAAACCCTATCATAGGTTGTGCTGTAATATTAATATTGGTAAAAATAAGCATTTCATCAGGTGCGTGAATTATTTATTTATTTAGATCTAGATCTAGAATCTAGACTCAGCTGAGTCCCTCTGTTTGGAATCGGATGCGGATTTCTAGTTCAAGGCCTATTCCTATTCACTTGTTTTACAAGATCTAGATCTAGATCTAGATTTATTTAGATTTAGATTGCTAGATCTAGATCTATATGGAGTATTCATATATATATGATATTCCAATTCTATTGTGTTATTGTATCAAACCCTCTATAGCAATGTAGATGTAAGCCATATAGATCGACAATCTAGATCTATATGCTCCTTGTTTGTTTTGGAGTGTGGTTTTTTAATTTTAATTTTTTTTTTTCATTTAGGACTTGTTTTGGCCTTTTTACATGAGGCCCGTTGCAGGTTCTTTTTGGGGGTAGGGTTAGGGTTGTCTCTTCTTTATCAAGTGTTTGTTGTGGTGGTCGCTCGTTACTCGGATGTCCTTCCTTATGACACCCACAAAGGCTTTTTTTTAGTGGGGGGGGGGGGGGGTGGGTGCGCAAAATTTTCAGACAATCTGGTTGAGGCTCACATGCAGGCCTATCTTTGGGGCCACAAATTCAAATAAATATCAACGTATTGTATACTAATATTTTCAGTACAGTTTGTAGAATACATCTGTAATGTTTATTTATGTATTTTTTAACTTTGGTTCCTGTAAGAGACGATTATGCAACCGAGTTTTGATTGGATGCGGATAAAATTTGAAAATAAAAAATTTATAATCTTTGGTGAAACTCAAAAAATATGTTTGCACCTAGTCAAATGATACATCAAAATAACCATAAATGAATATAGACAGGGTGTCCGGTAAAGTCGTAAAAAAGTAGTAAATTCGGCGTCCTGGTCGTAAAGGTCGTAAATGGTAGTAAATTTGCCTTGAAGGTAGTACAAATTTGGTAAACGGTCGTAAATTAGCCTGCATACTGAGTGATGGAGCCAGCAAGACTTTTCAGTGAACCCTAGCCTCCGTTTTTGCAGGTCGCGATTGTGATATAATTATTCGTTCACCTTTTCCCCATCCGAGCGTACGTTTCACGCGAAAAGCCGGCTATGGCGGCAGGTGGAAGTGTATGTGACACCGAGGCTCGATCGGGAAAATCAAGATCTTCTTTCACTTTCGTTACCACCCTGAAATTTGGCGAAGATAAACTGATAACGCAACATTTGTAATATGCAGGTTGTACAGTATGAACGCTGTGTCACCGTGCAAGCAATATTTAATAATTACTCGGACTCTTCACCGTGCTGTCACTTGTGGGGGTGGGGGGGGGGGGGTGAAAAGAAAATACAAGCTTTGTCCGATTTTTAGATTGTCGGGTTCGCCAGCGTGACAGGCCAATGAACCTTCGCGCGAGGCACTACAAGGTACGGCATTGGTGCGCACCGGCGTTTGTTGGGGTCGCCAAAGTTCATTAAAAAGTCGAGCGTTGCGAAGTATAGGACTACGGAGTAGGGCAGGGATTATTGAAATTTTTAAACAGACACTCGGGGGAGGGGGGGGGGGGGAGCGGATGAAGGCAACACCAGAGGACAAAAACTGTAAGCAAATTTCAGAATTTTAATTAGATTTAGAGCCCTCTGCAAAGTGCGCCTTGGTGCAGGCCTTGTGTGGAATCGGGATCCTTCATACTTTGTAAGCCGTGTTATTGAAATAAAGTGTTCGTGTTTCATTTGTTGGGTGATAGTAAATTAGAATAATATTGTAGCTTTCTGTTCAAGACTGGCAGATTTTCAGTGCCACTGCCTCTTGCCCTCTCACAGTTCTTACACCTCTCACACTGAATAGGTTTACTCGAGTCATTACGTGTGTGTGTGTATGTATGTGTGTGTGCGCGCGTTGTTGTTGTGTAACATGGCCGTGGAAAATGGAGAAGCCGGTTTGGCAGTCACCCTGTGTTTTTACACATTAGGTATAAAACTACCCCTCCCCCTCCCACCACCACCAGGGCAGTGCTACTGACTGAAACGTCTTTAGGCCATTCCCAAAGGGAGGATATTAACATGTTCTTATGCACAGTAGAATTGTAAATGGGCTGATTTATCAATGCCATGCTCATACTTTGCTGGACCCGCGTAGAGGACACTGCTGCCTTTTCTGTCCTCTTCTTTACTATCGTCATTTTCCTCTACTTCTTTTGTATGTTTGTCACACTTGTGAACTACTATTTCCGGGGTGCCTTGATAGTCGAAGCTTGGGCTTCTCTGTTGACATCCACCCCTTGTCGCTCATATCACCTATGCAGTTGCGAGCGCCGTAAAAACCTTACTAAAACTAAATCTTGCTGCAAGCTTGCGATCGTCTGTCTATCCTCCATTTTGTCGACTGGACTTTGTTGTGTGTTCTTTTCGTTCCCTATGTTATGTAATAATAATATATATGTTTTTGATGGCGCAAATTAACTCCCTTTTTCGAGCTGGTGTGGGGCTTGATTTGCTGGGTAGTAAATTTTTTTCCAGGTAGTAAATTTTTTCAGGAAATATTGCTGGACATCCTGTATAGAACTGGAAAATATTGAAAAGTTTGCAGTTATTTACCTACATTCCATAATATTTGTACATTTTGAACATACATCCGATATTGAAAAAAAAATAAATTATAATCTTGAAAACGATCACAAACAGAAAAAAACCCGCTCGTATCTTATATGGAATTATTCAGAATTGCATTTGGAATAAACCTATACATGTCTTGAGTGGCACTTTTTGTGTAATTTTATCAAAAAGTAGTGATTTTTAGGGAGAAAAAAATAGTTTGACTATTTAGATCTAGACCTAGATCTAGCACTCAAAAATACTGATTTCTCAATAACAGTGCATTGGCAATATATATGAGTCCAATCGTATCAATATTATAAAAAATAGTCCTATACTATACTTCTTCTTTAGTGGGCAAAATAATGATAGATTTTGTTGTGTCAAATTACAAAAACTGGTGTCCGGGCTATAATTTTGGCATCGCGATAAAACAAAGTCGAACAAACTACGAAATCACGTTTCAAAACTGAATCTAAATTTCCAATTTTCAGTGGAAATGCTTGACCCAGAAGTCAACATTATATTATCACCTTTATTTTAACATGGATATGTGGATTGGAATAGAATCTAAGCTAAAATTGAAGATCGGTTCTCGCGCCGCCGGGGGCGACTTAGCGTACTGACGGCACTTTAGCCACGCCGCCCCCCACGGCTCGGCGTAGCGAATGAGTTAAGTACGGCTAGACTGCCAGTCTAACCGTCATTTTTGTGACAAATTGATCCAGCGCATTGCTTAGCAAGAAGGAATCTTTTACGTTGCCAAGTTTCATTCAAATATCATGACTTTGGGAGAAGATGTGACTGATAATCTTTGTAAATCTGTGAAGAACGCCACTTTTTTAACCTGTAAATATCTTTACAACTCAAAAAGTAGGATAGATATTAAAAATCTGACAGCATCACTAGATTCTGCATTAAGAATTGTACTAAGCTGCCAAGTTTCATTTACATACTCCAAGAAATAGGCGAGCTATGTCAAATATTGCCTCAAAACACACCGAAAACCGCCACATTTTTACCAATAAACGTCTTCATAATAACTCAAAAAGTAGGATAGCTATGAGAAATCTGAAAGCAGGACTAGATTCTGCACTAGCAAATGTACTGGGCTGCCATGTTCATTTAAATACTCAGAGAAATGAGTGAGTTATGACGAGTATTGTCTCAAAACTCTCCAAAGAACGTCCCACATTTTGGGGTTTTTTCATTATATAAAAGTCTATAAAAAATTAATTGATTAAAAAATTCGTAACTTTTTTATTTATTGATGGATTTCAAAAATTCAAAAAGTTCCATTTTCTGTGGAGATACAGCTACAAAATGCACCTATTTGCAAACACTTTCTGACAAAAAAAGGATTATCGTGGTCATTACTAATAATATCATTGTTGACAAAGCGCACTCTATAGGTTTGATTTTCGACTCTCTCAACCAAGCATACAGTCAAATTCATAATGACATCTCACACAGTGCACCTATATTCCGAAAACCTCTATTCCAGGAATTCAGACAGCAATAGACACGTACATGAAGCTGTACAGAAGACATTTATTTTCCAAAAAAGAAAATCCCCAAACAGCGCAATTTAGAACAACACTGCATTCCATCCATCACACAACATGGCTTTGGTTTGGGCCCGCTGGGAGAACAAGGAACCGAAAGCTGTCACCGGTCTATTTTAAAAATTGAAAAGTGGGTTCAAGGCATCGTAAACAATACGGAAAAACTACGATACGTTATGAACGCACATTAATTTGCTCCAGAGAGCATCTTCACTGCAGGCACCGAGAAAACAACCAGGGCGCCATAGATTAGCGTATAGATCTACTGTACAAAATGTGTTAAAAAGATCTGTGTCATTATTTTAATGAAGGATACTGTAATGAGAATTTCATCACAAGCCCGACGAATTTGGCTGTTGAAAGATGCAAAAATGTGGATTACTAATCTTCCAACAACGATGTCCTTTGGTTAGTAGATACCCACATTAATTGTCTTTATTCTGAGCGAGTTTTAGTGAGTTTATTCCCGCACTTTGGTAGTTACATAACTTTTAATTCGGTGCATTCCTTAATAAGACAGCTGTATTTGATCACATGCAGTTAAAAAACTATACAAGATATCTTCATTGCGTTTTCACAAACTGTACATTGAAAGTAGAAACTCAAAGATGGAACACTGTGTATATTGATAACCCTGCTTTCATTTGTGAGCGTTGAAAAAAAAAAACTGTGTAAAATTGCCGTGGTATATAACTCAGCGCGTGGAGTGAGCGCAGGTAGACTGACCGGCGGCTGACCCTGGTCACGCTAACCTAGCAGCGTACGGCTTGGCGAAACTAAACGACAGCTGATTCGACGCTGTGGTCGGTTTTGGCCTCAAGAGTAGGGGGGTTTCAAGGGAATAAAACTATGGTGGGGGGGGGGGTTTCATGCCCCCCTGAATTTTACCATAATTTGATGTTTTGCAGTTGTTAGGTTTGATATCTTAGCTCGCTGCGCATCAAACGTATAGATCTCGATGTATCTAGACTCAAATAAGTGGGGTGGGAACTACCGAAAAAGCACCTGAAATTTTCCCTCTCACTCATTTTGTAGGCTAGATCTACTGATAGAACATCGATACCGAATATTTAAATCAGTATCGATATCCAGTAGTCTTTGCTTGTGTGAATTAGTGCTAGAACTAACGAGACCGCAATTGACAATTGTACAGAGGACTGCCAAAAAGTCATTGCCTGCACTGAACTGTATCACGCATTCATTGCGGCAATGACTGTGACTCAAGAACGGAATGTTTGATAATTTAGGCCTAGTGACCTAGCGTAAGTATGTCCTCAGCTGATGTCTGGGTCTAAAAGTAGCTCATCGAAACGCTTTCAGTCTTCGTCAGTCCGCCTTGGTATAAAAAATAAATAGATGGAAGTGGCTATCCTCACCCCGGGTGAGACTTGCCAGTATTGGCTATTCTCACCCGGTGTGAAACAAGATCTGTTTTTCCTAATTTCAGAAGTACTCTTTATCGCTGTGAATGATCAAATACAAAGAAAAAAATGACATAGCTCAAAAAATGTGTAAGCTAATTTGGTCGTCTCCAACGATGCTATGGCTATTTCACTTTTCGAATCGAGCCAAACTACGCGGGTCGCCATTTTGTTTTGCCGGGAAGTTCTCACGCTACTCCTCTCTCTCTCTCTCTCTCTCTCTCTCTCTCTCTCTCTCTCTCTCTCTCTCCCTCCCTCCCCCCCCCTCCCCTTCTCTCTGATCACATCACTGCCCACAGACAAAATTGCACGCTTTCAACACAAGAGCGCTGGAATGTTTGTTCACTGTGAACTCTACACTGGTTGGCCTTTCAAGGTGAAGGCACAACGGGTGAGAATTGCTAAAAGGCTCGCCTGCGCTATTCTCACGCGGGGTGAGAATGGAGGTGGCCAAAATAAATATCTAGATGTCAATTGTAGAAGATACTTGCGAGGTTAGTTAATTTGTTTAACAACATGAAGCTACAGCACAGCGAGCACCTAGCACTCCTCTGTGATTGGCCCAAATATAGGTAACATATTTCCGCCATCTATTTTGTCATTTTCCGGGGCTTTCTCCCCAAGACTCTTGGGTTTCCCTCACCCATAACTTTTGACTGGATCTCGCAGTGGTTGTTTTGTTCTGGTATTAATTAATTTGTGTTATCTTTTATAAACAATCTTAGTAATTCTCGTTCCTTAAATTTACCTTCTCCTCAAAGTTGTACACGCACACACACGCGCTTGCACACACTCATTCCCGCACTCAAGCATGCGCGCACACACACATGCAGCCCAGGCAGTCATCGATGAAACCTAGTGACGTAGCCCATGGCACGGGCCCGCCATGGTAAGATCTAGTCAACTGGCGAGGGAAGCCCCGGAAGACGACAAAAATAGATGGCGGAAGTACATCATCTATATAATTTGAACCAATCACAGAGGTGTGCTAGGTGCTCGCTGTAGCTTCATGTGTTTATTTTTAGGAAGTGGCTATTCTCGACAGGGGTGAGACCTATTGAAAATGATACCAGCTTTTGCACAGAATAATGATCACTATTATTTCTACTGCTATGCTCAACACACTTTTTAAAAAATCGTAATTGTTTCAAATGTTTTCCATATTTTAAAATGAGGCAAAGATAAATACTAAGCTTCACGTTTGTTTGATAACAATTTTATCAATTTTAGCTTTTGGTTGATGTTTTGTTTGTTCAAGTAAGTTTCATTATTGCTGATTTTGAGTTTTGCTCAATCCAGGAGCACAGTCCTCTGGAAAGCCTAAATGACGAACACAAAAACACTACCATCAAATATTGTAAATGATAGGCCTACTGGCTTTTATACTGAATAACACTAGACTAATCCTGCTGTAATGATAAACATACATTTTATGAAATCATAAATGTTTGTTTTTTTCTTTCTTTTTAAAGTCTGAAGTTTGCTGTATTTCAAAACGAGACAAAATGAATGGGTTTCGGATTTGTTTGATAGTGGCTATTAATTTTGGTGTTTGATTGATGCCTTGCTCGATCAAGAAACCATTTTGGTTGATTTACTCGACCAAGAATCTTGTTCGTTTAACAAAACAATTTGATTGATGATCAATTCAATTGCACCACTACTGGCATCTAGATCATCCAGTTATAATTTTTGGCTTTTTCTATAGGCTTACACGTTCATGCTTCATGGAATAAACTATATTTTATGTAGGGGCCCTTAGTGAATTTTAGGTGCTGTACAAACTAATGATTAAAACCAACATTATATTTATGGTTTAAGTTTGATTTCTTTACCATGTTGGGTCAATGAGAGAAAAATGGTTTTCTTAATGAAATAATAATGTAGATCATTTCTATAGTGCCCACTCCGGTGTGAACACAGCTCCAGGCGGTTTACATAAATGCATGTACGAACAATATTCTCACACAAGTTCACGCACACATTATTTACTCACTCACATGTGCACATACATCCACGCCAAACACATGAATGCGCACTCACATGCACGCCAAGCATATGTGCACACACAGTCACACACACACACACACACACATCTACTTGCTTATCACACACACACGCTTACACATCGTTACGAAATGAGCACATACAAATGCATAATAAAATAATATACTCAATGCTATTTGCAAAATACATAATATGAATGGATACATATATTCATTAACATAACATCGTACTACATGAATCTACTCATATAAAAATGATGTCATGAAATGTGTCTTACTATATTTCAGCTGGCAGCTGCCACAAACTAGATTTGAAATTCTTACATTCACGAAGCTTCAAAGCTACAGTTAAAGATGGTCAAAAGAAAATCAATCTCAGGGAGTCCGATGAAAACGTCGTCACCTCGGAAAAAGTCCAGTGCTGGACCAGTGATACAGACGTCTGAATTTGATGCTTTTGAAGAGCTCCAGAAAGTGCTGCGCATGCGTATTTCTCAGATCCAAAGGCCTCCATTTATCAGTGGATATGAAAGTGAAAAGAAGTGAGTAACAATCTTTACTGACTTGAGAAATAAAACTTTCCTATTACGCTATCGCATATTATTATTCTTTCTCAGTTTTCTTTTCTGATGTTCCCTCAGCTCCCATCATCTCCTGCTCTGTTTGAGGATTTATTAAATTATACATGAGATGTGTTGCCTCTGTTGAGGTTACTTTTTCCTCTGCCTTTTCATTTATTTTCAGAGAAGGAAGAAAACCACTGGAACAAAGTATAATGTTACTGTTGGTGTTTCTACCATCATTTGTGAGGTAGCGTGGTGAAATCAGGCGCTCGTCAAAATAATGAAAGGGAAAGTCAAGAAATTGGCATTGTTTGGCAGGATTTAGAATTTTTATCGAATTTGGGGGGGGCTCAACTCCTTTAATATCCAATGAAGAACACATTTCTGTGGTGGATTTTTACTGAAAAACGTTGATTAAAGGCATAAAGGATTTAAGTTTTCAGTTTCCGCGGACTCTAGCTATGGAAATAACTCAACTTTGGCAGCCATTTTCTTGCTAATTTTACCTTCAATCATCAAAAGCTTGACTTCTGTTCATGATGAATGGATAGTTTTTTTCATCAAAAGCAAGGTAAATGGACAGACCTTAAAATGATACCAGTAACTCCATATGCCCCAAAATTGACGAGAGCATGATTCCACTGCGTCGTAACACATTTTTCTTAAGTGGTGAATTTGCGTCTTATTTGTCATGGTTTCACCTGTTATATTGTTGGGTTTTTTTGCTATGGGGGGGGGGGGTGAGACCAAAGACAATGAAAATTATAATGTCCCTCATGATCAGAGAACAGTTTATTTTTTTCAAATGTTTGATGCAATTGAAAATTTGTAACACTTACTTTCTTTTGTGTTGGAGAAAAAGTCTACACCAGTTGAATTGCCTTTTGACTAGAAGGGGAATCTTTCATGTGGTGAACCTCACAAAGACAGTTTAAAATGTTTGACCCTTTTACAGGGCGAATTAAATAAAGGAGAAACTGGAATTGTATTCTTACATGCAACAGACATGCCCATTGCAAACGTACTTTCAGGATATTTATAAAACATGCCCACATCACATTCGTACATATCGAAAAGATATCTCTGCATCTTGCCTATTTTGCTGTTTGCTTGCTAGACTGAAATTTATGTTCTTGTGACAACAACTGTTAAACAATTAGAAAGCTTCTTTGAAATTCTAGCAAATTTCTCACATTTTCTTGCTCTCCAAGTGCTTAAAATTAAATTTCTATTTTGCTCCGGATGGATCTTGTTCTTTTTTGCTTTTCAGACAGCTCCATGATCTCATTCAGCGGACGGCCGTGACAGGGGAAAGCAATTCATTACTCCTGATTGGGCCAAGGGGATGTGGGAAGTCTATGGTAAGGTGGAGACTGGTGAAAAATGGCCCTTATGGCTTACTTTGAAAACAGAGTCTCAAGTCTTGTTAAAATTGCCGGTTCATGAATTGGTCCCTTACATTACTGCTGAGGTATTCTGTAAATCTCTAGGTGTTTGGGACCCCAGTTTTCTGAATTTTTTGAAATTCTGTTAAGTTTTAAATCTCTTTTTTTTTTAATAGGTGTGATGTTAAGATCTTGTTTTTAATGTATTCCAGAACGTGTTTTGAGTTTTTTCCGCACCTAGTACAGATGAAACCTTTCTGCCCTGTCCCCCTCACCTCCTTTGCCCTCTCCTCTTGGCTCCTAAATCTTTCTTCAGCCTTTCTACTGCTACTCCATGGCTCCTTCTTACTGCTGTCTTTCAGCCACACCCCTGATCTTCTGTAGTTAGGAAAGATCTACACCTAGCCTTCTCGGACGAGGGTGAAAAATCTCAGAGGGCCCGTGTGCAAGTTGCGCTCATTAAAGATCCCTTGGTAGTCTAAAATCGATAAGAGTAGGCTTTGGCCGCCACGCGGGCAAAATTCAAAATTTCCTACCAGCTTAAAAGGATTAGTGTGTCCAGCACACTCGTATGACCTTATGCAGTTGCGAGCGTTGTAAAACACTTACCAAAAAAACCCCCCCAAAAACTGATGACACCTAACTACGTTACTGTTACTACAGTTGCCTGCTACTTTCCACATTCTAATGGCTCATTGCCAGCTAGTCCAGTGATGTAATGTTAAATGAGTTCTTTTGCGCTGGACTTGAATGGTTAATGAATGCGGCTTTACAAAAAAACATCAAGCGATGTTGGTGTAAACTGTAAACCCTGTCAGATTTTTTGGACATTCGATCGAGCTTAAAGACACGCCGCTGCTCCATGATAATCAACACACGTATGCTGCTGTTTGATATTGAAATGATTTTATATGTTTTATATACAGTTTAAGGGCATTTCTAGTCAAAATCCAGATTTGTCTTTGACAGAGCATATATATGAAACAAATGATTTACCACTGATTTGTCCAAATTTTAAAAAAAGATACTTGTGGGTTAGCCGATCTTATCACGATTTAATGAGTGTTGGCTCTGTATCTCTGTTCAGATAATGTAGAAAGTTTTAGCTGCCAAATATATAGATAAGTCATGTAAACCCGTTATGAACAATTATAAATGCAAAATAACAACCTTTACCCATACTGTTTGGGGTAAACTTTTTACTTGTTTGTGAGTTGTGTTCTGTTTTTTGGGAGTTTTTTTTCTTCTTTTTTTTACATACCCAAGTTGAGTGTATTGTGATTATGAAACAAAATGTGTCAAGACACGGTAGAATCAGGCTCTCGTCAATTTATTTTGGTCATGTGGGGTTATTTGTATCATCTAAAAGCTTATTCATTTTCTGTACTTTCAATTTTAAAATACAATTTATCTTCAATAGAAGTCGAGATATTTGCGATTGAAGGAGGAGGGGTTTCCTGGCTCTAGTGAGAAAATTGTCAAAATTCGGCAGTTTCAATAGCTAGACAGTCCATGCAATCTGAAAAATTACTTAATATATTGTGTCTTTAATCAATGTTTTTCAGTCAAATTCTCATGGAAATGTGTTTTAAACGGGCGTAGAAGGTGTTGAGCCAAAAAATACAAATTTGATAAAACTTGCCAAACTCGTAAAAAATGTCTGTTTCTCCAATTTCATTATTTTGAAGAGCGCCTGATTTCACCACGATGCCTCACAAATTGTTTCATTGTGATGTGTGGCGTTGCTTTTATTTTCAGCTGATTCGCAACGTGGTTGAAAGTGTGTGTAAAAAAGAATCTGTCAGGAGCAACTTGCTTGTGGTTCAGCTCAATGGTAAGATTTTTGTCTGCTTTATCTTTATCTTTATCCTTCTTCTTGTTTCCTTAGATTTCGAGAAGTTTCTTTCAAAAATCTAGATGGATGTCTTCTGTTGTTGATATGTTATTCTTTTGGAAGACCTTTAAACGCCACATTGTGAGTGGTCTGCCCCTGTCTTTGTATCCAGGCTTCTGAAATATACTCTCATGCAGCTGGTTGATTTGGGAGCATTCTTATCAGATGGTAGAATTACTTTATTCTTTGATGTTCTATATGTTATCTTACAAACCCTTGATGATATATTCTCTTGACTTTCCATACAACTGTCGCACGTGGGTTTAATGGCATCGGGAAAACATGAGTTCACCTAGAGAGACACCATGGTCAGGCACTGGGAGCTCATTTGCAGAATTTTGACTCCAGGCGCTTTGAGAACCACATGATAATAACACTTTGTAAGACATCCACCTTAGACAACCACCTCTACACCTCGCAATGGGTGGCAGTCTTAGACAGTTTTTAGCGTATCTTTTAGAGTTGTTAATGTGTTGTATGAATAAAAGTGAATCTTTGGGGGGGGTTTTATTCTTGCGTGTGTTTCTGTTCACATGTTACAAGTTGGTGGGTGTGGAATTTTTATATTTTGAATCCTCGTCGTTCTCTAGGTTTACTTCAGACTGATGACAAGGTTGCACTGCGGGAGATCACAGTCCAGCTTCAGCTAGAAAATGCTGTCGGAGACAAAGTTTTTGTGAGTTTTCTTCAAGTTTATTTGGGCTTGTCACGTATTCTGTGTGGACCATAAGTGTGAGATTTTTTCTTTTTAAAGAAACACTTATTGCTCTACATAGAAATGTATAAACTGCGTTAGGTCTTACCCAATGTTATGGAGGTTCGGCGCGTTTTTAAATTACAGTCTAGCACACACACGAGGGAAATCAGTGGGATGAGGAAATTCTTGAAGTCTTTTCATCATGTACGAATTTCACTGTGTGTGGGTTTTTAACACCATATATATGTGTGTGTGTGTACAGGAAAATATTCTGGGCCTGAAAATTTGTTCTCTATGCGCATGTTTGTAGTATGTGCATGCTAGACTGTATATATCTCTTTTACATGTTAAGAAAGGTAGGTCAAGATTAAACAGAAGCGAAAAAAAAATAAGAGAATAGAATTGATTTAGAGCAGTGGAGAAAAAAGTGGATACTGCTTCTTTTTTTTTTTTTTTTTTTTTTTTTGTCAAACAAATCCAGCAAAGAGCTTGATGCTCATTTTTCAACATATCTCTAAGTAATGCTCTTTTTGCATATGGTTGTTGATTTCTACCTACACAAACAGCGGTGTAAAGAAAATGAAGAACATTTCCAAATTATCATGTGTATATATGTATGAGACCAAAGATTATACAATTTCAAATTAAATCATAAAAACATTTGGGAAGAACAATGAAGAACATCGTTCTAGTCTGGACAGTCATATTTAAAAATGGCAAGTTTGGGTGGGGGGGGAAGTGCAGGGGGTGATAAAATTATGTGGGGTGTCCCGGAGGGGAGGGGCTGCATGTATTTAGTATTGATTTACTTCAGTAGATAGCCCTTGAGTGGTTTCCAGTGCCTGTATAAAATTTGGAACTTTTAATCTAAAACTGCATGACAGGGCATACAAGTGAAAAGTGTCACTATTAGATTATCTGAAAAATGTGTTGTTGTTTTCAATCCAGCAACAGCTGTGCTCTCTCCTTTATATCCAATGCCATGTAATGATACGTGCAGGTTTTCTACAGTTGCTGTGATGTGCCATAGAGTGTGTTGTCAGTGTGAGGTCTTGTAGTCAGAAGCTTGGCTTTGATGTCATTTTGGCTGTGCAATGGAGCAGGATGAAATGTGTTAGAATTTATTGTTTTTCGATTGAAATTTTTTTTTTAATTTGGGTTTATGCTGAAGACCTATCTCTCGACTCCACAGGGATCATTTGCTGAGACGCTACAGTTTCTTCTGACCGCGCTTAAAAAAGGTGAGGAATTTGTTTTGTCTGTTCTGATATAATACATGTACAGTGCAGTCTGCTTAAAATAGAGCACAGTGAGTCGTAAAACAGTGGTGAACCAAAAAAAAAAAAATCCCTTTTTTTTTCTTTTGAGCAGCCTCTCAAAACCAAAAATCCAGCTAAACCCAAGAAGATCCAAAGGTTCCACTGATTTTGATTTAAGCGAGTTCTACTGCATGTTGTTTTTTATCTTGAAATGATGTTTATATTTCACTACCTCAGAATTACAACGCTCTTTCTGACATTTTTGGGTTATTAGGACTATGAGGTTAGAAACCAAATGTTCTGTCTGCTTGATCAAAATTGTAAGATTATTCAGAGTCGTTATCAAGATATTTAAAGAATTGCATTCGAAAGAGCTTGACATAATGTGAAACTCAAAATCTTTTACGTCAAAATTTTCAAAACTAGTCACTGAACAGACAGAACTTTGTAATTCTGAGGTAACGAATTATTATATTGTCTCGTATGTATGCAACTGTTTCTGTATAGTTAGTGCTCAAAGACAACTTTGCTGGTAAATTCTTCACCAGTTGGCAAAACTTTCACAATTCCCATGTGTCGATGTGAATGTGGGTGAAAAATCACGTACAATTTTTTTTTCACTGTTCCCTCTTCGGCTGAAAATTTAAAGCACTTTCCAACAAGGAGAATCACCCACCGACTACTGGTTTTTCCCCCCAATATCTCTGTGATCAATATATTATCTATAATATATATGAATGGTAAGAAAAATGTAAAACCACTTGGGTGGTTGGCGGGAATTCTGGTGTGGTTTGCTCCTTCTTTCCTACCAAACATCTATCATTCATATCTCTCCTCAGCTTTACTTTTCTATGTACATTACTCGCTAGTAACACCTCTAATCTTCGCCGCTTACATGACTTATTTGTGTTGCAAGGGCTGTAAAACCCTTACTAAAACTAATACTAAACTCTCTAGTTGGTTGCTTTTAAGCTCAAAGGGACTAACCCGAAAAAATGCTGTTTTGAGAAAATCGAAGGTAAAGCTTTTGGACCCGTGATCTATCTCTGCATATTTGTTTCAAGTGAATTCTTCTGTGGTTTTGCATTCGAGTCAGTTATGACCTTGTCTGCCGTATAACTATAAATTACTGACAATTATTTACTTGATTGAAAAGAAATTAGACTGAAAAGTTGGGTTGGTTCAGTTGTGCCTATACACAGAAAACGGTTTTGAAGCAAATCTGGGGGCGAAATGGGCCATCCCATCCAAAATAAGGCATACCTTTCCATCTGGACTATTCCTGCATTGAAGTATACACAAATGGTCTATCCCCTGTACAGAGGGCTAACCCACTTTTAGCTTGTCAACTCTTTGTCATTGGGCTAAGTGGTCTAGCCTGTGAGCATTTCATTTGAAGCATTTTTTACCAAACAGATTGGTACTATTATGTGGAACAGTACTCAAGTGAAAACTGATACAGTACAGAAAAAATTTTGATAATAAAAACTTACCTGATATGAGAATATCGCAGTCTTTGGGGTCATTTTAAATTGAGACATGCAGTGAACTCTTCACTTGAGATGCCGGCCATTTTTGGAGTTAGCCCATGAAAAAAATTTCAAAAGTCTGCTGTTTCTTTAAAAGACAAGAAGAGTTTTCTCTATAACCAAGCAAATATAAGCACCAATGAAACCAGACTTCTCCTATAGGTAGAGCAATGCCTACTTTTAGAAAAGGTCAAGATTTCTAGAAACCCCCGAAGTCTGGGTTAGCCCGCTTGTTCTTAAAAGCGACCAGTTATATCTCTATTCTTCGGCACTCATATGACCTATTTGTGTTGCAATTGCCGTGAAACCGTCACTAAGACCATTCCAACTGTTTTGTGTAGGCGACCAGGGCAGCAAGCCCATCCTGATAGTCCTGGAAGAGTTTGACCTGTTTGCTCAGCACAAGAACCAGACGCTGCTCTACAACCTCTTTGACATCACGCAGTCGGCACAGACTCCTTTGTGTGTCATTGGCCTCACCTGTCGGCTGGTGAGTGAATGAGTGAATACTTTCTTCCTTTTCCTCCTCTCCCTCTTCCCTCCCTTGTTCTTCCTTCTCCTCTTCCTCTCCCTCTTCCTCCTCCTCCTCCCCTCTTCGACATCACTCTGTCGGCTCAAACACCCTTGTGTGTCATTGGCCTCACCTGCAGGCTGGTGAGTGAATGCCTTCTTCCTTTTCTTCCTCTCCCTCTTCACTCCCTTGTTCTTCCTTCTCCTCTTCCTCTTCCTTCTCCTCCTGTTCCTGTTCCTCCTCCTCCTCCCCTCTTCGACATCTCTCAGTCAGCTCAGATGCCCTTGTGCGTCATTGGCCTCAGCTGCAGGCTGGTGAGTCAATGCCTTCTTCCTCATCCCCCTCTTTATGTTTCTTCTTCTTTCCTTTTTTTTTCCATCCCCTTGTTCTTCCTTCTCCTCCTCCCCTCTCCGACATCACTCAGACGCCCTTGCTTGTCATTGGCCTCACATGTAGGTTGGTGAGTAAATGAGTGACTGCCTTTTTCCTCACCCTCTTCTTCTTCTTCCTTCTACTTTTCTTCTTTGTTCCTTCTGCTCCTCTTCCGATTCCTCCTTATTCTTCTCATTCTCCTCTTCTTCCTTTTCCTTTCATTCTTCCACCTCTTCATCTTCCTCTTCTTTCTCTTCAGTCTCCTTTTTCTCCTTCTCTTCATCGTCTTCATTTTTTCATTCCTTCATATTTGATATGAACTGCTCAGTCAACACTTACGTTTTTCAGTAATGTTATATGAAAATTACAAAATTTAGTTAAGATGTCCAAGGTTGATCCCTAGTGGAAAAAAAAAATTGATGACATATAATCACCATTATAATAAATCACACTTTTACATTATACTACCGAAAAAGAATATTACATACCACAAAAGCACACACTTCCACTGCACAGGGCAGTCACAATCCGTTGTCAAATCTCTCGGCCCCCAAGGCTCGGTGCTACTGACTGAAGTGTCTTAAGGTCATTCCCAAAGGGGGGACATTAACCATGTTCTTATGCACAGTAGAATTGTAATTGTAAATGGGCTGATTCATCAATGTCATGCTCATAACTGCATGGACTGCAACAGGGAACTGCTGCTTTTCCTTTCCTAATTCTTACTATCGTCATTTTTCCTCTACTTCTTTTGTATGTTTGTCACTCTTGTGACCCGCTATTTCCGGGGTGCCTTGATAGTCGAAGCAGACTTTGTGCTGTTGAAGCTAGAGAGGTGAGAAAAGTAAGCCTGATTCCCTGTAAGGACTTTTCTGTTGACATCCACCCCTTGGTGCTCATGTGACCATATGTAGTTGCGAGCCCGTAAAACCTTTCTAAAACTAAACTAAAAAATCTCGCTGTCCCCCAGGACGTGGTCGAGCTGTTGGAAAAGCGGGTCAAGTCTCGGTTCTCCCACCGGCAGCTCCACCTGTACAACAAGCTCAACTTGTCGCAGTACAGACAACTCTGCCAGGCTTATCTCAGCCTGGGCGCGGCCTTCCCGGACAGGAAGTTTGCGGACAGTTGGGATCAGAGCATCAAGGTGAGCACACCTGCCAAGTGTAACGATAAAACAGGAGTTCTCCTATTTAAAACTAAAATTTCTTTTGCCAGTCAAAAAACCGTGTCCCCCCCCCCCCCCCCCCCCCCTTCCTAGGCAGTGCTATTGAATGAAGTGTCTTTATGTCATTCCCAAAGGGGGGGATATTAACATGTTCTTATGCACAGTAAAATCGTAAATGGGTTTATTTATCATTGTCATGCTCACACTGTGCCGAAGCAACATGGGGGAACTGCTGCTTTTGCTTTCCTCATCCTTACTATCGTCATATTTCCTCTACTTCTTTTGTATGTTTGTCACTTTCTTGTGAACTGCTTATTCCAGGGTGCCATGATAGTCGAAGCAGACTTTGTGCCATTGAGGCTAAAGAAGTGAGCAGAGTAAGCCTGATTCCCTGTTTGGACTTCTCTGTTGACATCCACACCTTTGCACTCATATGACCTTATGCAGTTGCGAGTGCTGTAAAACCTTACTAAAAACTAAAAGAAGTGTGTTTGGATTTACATGAAAGCTGATATTTTTCGTGAGTTCTGTTTCCGTCAGTCGTATGCAGATTATCGACTTGTCGTAAATGATAGGAAAAATTGCTTTTCTTTATGTGTATTTCCAATCCACATTTATTCTCTTTCCTATATATTCTCTTCTTTTGTTTTTATTCCCTTCTCTATTTATTCTCTTCTCTATTTATTTTCTATTTATACCCTTCTCTATTTATTCTCCTCTCTATTTGTTTCCTTCTCTATTTATTCTATGTATTTTTTTCTCTTATTATTCTCTATTTGTACTCTTCTCTATTTATTCATATGCGTGCACTTGCTTCAGAATTTTTTTTCCAACATCTTTCTAGCCCACAAACAAAAAAGTGTTTTGTGTTATGGTGGGTGGTTGGCGGATGCTCTGGTGTGGTTACCTGGTTTGCTTCTCCTTTCCTGTCAAACATCTATCGTCCTTATCTCTCCTTCTTTTTTGTGTTTGTTACTCTCTTGTAATACCTCTAATCTTCGGCACTTATTTTACCTTATTGTGTTGCAAGTACCGTAAAAACTCTTACTAAAACAACAATTTTGGTCGTGTCACTTAAATGACCTTATTGTGTTGCAAGTGCCGTAAAACACTTGCTTTAACCCTATCCGTACACCCTGGGGCCATTTTGTACACCCGGGGTTGTATTCTTCACATTTTAGAATTCTTCTAGTATGAAGATCTCTTTAAAACGTTCAGTATTTCTCAAAAGGTTATTTTTACAGACTGCTATACAAAGCATACAGACACCCCGAGGGCGATGCCACTGACTGAAGTGTCTTTAGGCCATTCCCAAAGGGGGGACGTTTCTAGCTCCAATGCACAGTAGAATTGTAAAGGGGCTGATCCAACAATGTCATGCTCATAACTGTGCTTGAACTACAACAGGGAACTGCTGCTTTTTCTTTCCAATTCCTTACCATCATTTTTTTCCTCTACTTCTCTTGTATGTTTGTCACACTCTTGTAGCTGCTATTTGATAGTCGAAGCAGACTTTGTGCTGTTGAAGCTATAGAGGTGAGCAGAGTAAGTCTGATTCCCTGTAAGGACTTCTCTGTTGACATCCACCCCTTGGCGCTCATATGACCTTATGCTGTTGCGAGCGCCGTAAAACCTCTACTAAAACAAGAGCAAAAAGCGTATGGATCAAATTAGCGAGTAAATTTCCCCACGCCGTATGGATACGATAGTAAGGCACGACGTACGGATAGGGTTAAACAACAATTTGTTTCGTGTCCCGCAGGAGCTCCTGGAAGAAGTGTCTGTGAAGGACATCCTGGAGCGACAGTTTTCCCTGACCAATGACGTCCGCGGACTCATGACTCTTCTGGTAACTAGCAGCGTCTGAGCGTGCCAACTTGTTTGTTTTTCTGGGTTTTGAGGTTTTTTTAAATGGGGTAGTGCTTGATGAAGCCCACGTGGGACGCTCATTGTTAAAAACAATCAGGAAATGACGAATGCAGTTTTTGGGACACCTGAATAGATATAAAGGTCTTGAACATCTAGCTCTCACTGTCAAAATGGAAGGCAAACAAGGCAGGGGTAGGCCCAGAGCAACTTACTTAGGGAGCCTAAACAAATGGGTAACAGGGAAAGATCAGCGAGCCAAGGAATGAATGGAGAACCATGATCCCTGATGTCTGTTGCAGATCTGGCACTGGATGATGATGATGATAACTGGATAGAGCACCTCGTCAACAGTTAGTAGAGAATATTTGTGGCAAAAGCCATCGTCATAAAGTATTAACTCTTTGACTACCAAGGCATTTTCCGCGCTGTGACCAAGGCATTTCTTAGTCTTAGAATTTCAGAAGTACCCCTGTTCTTCTTTTGTGTCTGATGGGCATAATTCCATCTGGAAGTCAGACATGTTACGTACCAAAATGAAGGTAATTGAATGTAGAATATTTTTAATCTAATTAAAAAATTGAACAAAATCATAAATCCAAACAAACATGGGAGGTAAGTGAACACAAGGTGAAAAAAATTTAAAAATTAAAAAAATATTTTCAACTTACATTTCTCACAGTGTATAGCTGCTAAATCCAATCACTTCATGACTTGGTCATACTAAAGTATATCCAATTGTCTCTAACTGGGCCAAGTTTCATGCACAATGGTCAAGTATATACAAAGTTGTCGCACTTTTGGTGAAATAACTCACAATGAAAAAAAGAGAAAAAAACGCTACACGCACTCCCCTCTTTTCGAATCTTCATTCTCATCGCTGTCGCTCCTGTCCGACTCAGGTCTAACTTCATCACTTCCTACATCACTATCGGAAAGTACTGACAGTTCCCCATCAAACTTTTTCAGGGCTTTTGAAGCAGAAAAACGTTGTGACGGGGGGGGGGACCTGATGGGTTATCCAGCCATTTTTCCGTTGCTATGCGTGTAAACTAATTCGAGCAACACAGGGTGGGTAAAAAAAACATGAAAAAAATGCCCAAAAAACAGCAGAATAAAACACAAAAGGGCCAAATTCCTTCACTGATTGACTGATGTATGGTAAGCAGAGCAGTTAAAACATGAAACGAAAAGGTTGAGTCAAATTGTGGAAGGGAAAGGGAAAGAAAAGCGCGAGCCGATAATTCGGCTCTTGGCCACGAACTAGGAAGTTATGGAGCCGATAAATCGGCCATGGTAGTCAAAGAGTTAAGTGCCAGACCTGAAACGGACATCATTGATCCTGGAGTGGGTGGTTGGCGGGTGCTCTGGTGTGGTTTGCTTTTTCTTTCCTATCAAACATTTATCGTCTTTATCTCCCCTCCTTCTTTTTTGTGTTTCTTACTCTCTTGTAACACCTCTAATCTCCGGCACTGATATGACCTAATTGTGTTGCAAGTGCCTTAAAGCTCTTCTTACTAATTGATCCTGGTTCTCCTTTCGTTTTTCTGCTTGGATGCTCTAAAAAAAAATGCGCCGAAATACTATCCTGGTGTTTGTTTCCCAGTCATAAATGTGGTTTTGTCAAAAACTGATGTTTAAAAGCATGAGTAATTTTGTTCTTTTTTTCTTTTCCTTTCTCACTCCTTTGTTGCCTTATGACGTACGTTGTGGTCGTGAAGATGCATAACTTTAAGCTTTGTGCCGTACCATGAACGGAAGTTGGCAAAATTTGCCAGTCCTGGCTACTCATATGAAGTTACATGTACATCCCGCTAATCATCTGGCTCTAATTCTTCTGTACAGAAATTTGGCCACAAGCACAGCGTGGATTCATGTTCAGGAATTTAAAAATGAGCATGTCAGCACCACAAAGTTGCTATCATTAGTTGACTGCTCGGCTTGCAGTTGTGGAATTGTAGGTTTATGTGCTCAGGGCTGTCTCAGTCCTATCACAGATGAGAGTTAAATTCGGAGGTCCCGTCCCACTTTTTAAATAAGGCTAGGAGCTTTAAACTTATAAAATTGTTTGTGTTTCATATCCGGTATCAATAAAACTGGACAGTGCATGTGCCATATTCTGTGTAAAATGAAAAGAGAGATGCTGATCAGCCTAACGACTAGATTTTTAAAAATTGCTTTTATATTATTATAGAAATCTTTTTGGTATCAGGGATGGACATTTTCTGTAAATATACTGAAATCCATAATTTTGATTTGCTCCGTCATTTTCCGTGCGTGAGACCTGACGTCATTAAGTGGCCTCCCTGATGCCTGTCGACCTGCTTTCAATGGTGAGTCATTCTGCTATGTGCTCTAATCTACAATTGAATAAGTGTGTTTCTCCTAATCAACAAAAGTTCAGTTAATTTTGGACTGATCAATTTCCATCCCTGTGGTTTGTGAACTGAGTACCTCTTTCTGTTTGTTCTCAGACCTACCCTGTGTGTAAACTTTGCGAGCAGCACCCGAGGATTACCGCGGGAGACTTGGTCACGTCGTTCAAGATCATCTCCACAGACACAAAATCTGCCATGTTGCATGGTGAGAGAGATAAAGCTGTTTAATTTTTTTTAATTATATTATTGTATGTTTATACTTTGCATGTTGAGTGCCCTGTAGCGACAGAATATGTTATTTTGATGATAGACCCTGCTTTCTTTAAAACCAGGGCCTGTCAAACTTTTTATAACCAGCACCCACTTCTCCCACCTTTAAGAGGCTAAAAAAAAATTTCTTCCCACCTACATGTATATCCAAGTAGGTCATAAAATAACACTGGTCACTTACCGGACACTGTCCGCCGCCCACCAGAGTTACCAAATCGCCCTCTAGTATGTATGGCTCTTTTCGTCAATGCAGACGGTCAATTTAGCTTTGGAGGGTCTCACGGTTGTCTTCATGCAGCTTCTTTCATGGCTCATTCTTCCTTAGTTTGAAGCGCAGATTCTGTCACATTGCTTGCATGTCAGTGACGTAGATCGAAGCTCTATATTTCCGCTGTTTTCCTTTCGTTGTTGGCGCTTCTCAGCCTGGTTGTTTCTAGGTGGGTAAATTGCCTACAGCTGTGTTCACACGGGAGTGGGCGCTATAGAAATGATCTACATTATTATAATTATTATTACTGATAAAAAGCGACGAGTTTGTCTTGTTTCTTTTGTTTTTTTCTTTTTGCGTAACTGACATGCAAGCACTGTGACAGAATCTGCGCTTCAAACATTGTTACGCTCCAGTGGGTTTTATATATATGTGTCACGACGTGGTGGAATCAGGCAGTTGTCAATTTGTGGGCATATAGGGTTATTAATATCATCTTTAAGCTTATTCATTTGTCTTGCATTTGGCAGAAAAAAAATACCTATCTATTTTGAACAGAAGTCGATATATTTGCGATTGAAGAAGGTGGGGTTCGCCTGCTATAACAGATAAAATTAGCGAGAAAATGGCTGCCAAAGTTTGGTGACTTCCAAAGCTTGAGTGTTCCTTGAAAACTGGAAATTTGCGTTTTCTGTGCCTTTAATGAATGATTTTCGTACTATTCACTCATATATGTGTTTATAAATGGACATAAAAGGTATTGAGCCAATAAAAGAAAATTTGAAAAAGATTTCCCAGCAACCAGAAAAATTCAGATTTCTTTGATTTCATCATTTTGACGAACGCCTGATTTCACCATGATACCTCACATATAGTATATATATATATATATATTGCCCAGGTTGACTTTCAGGGTTAGACTGAGGCATGCTTGGGAGATTGTAAAAAAAAGTCTGAATTCTTTTGTCTGCATATTTCTTATTGAAAATGTCTGTCACACACATGATATGTTGGAACTGAAGAGAGGCACACCCATGCAATCATTAATTTTTATGTTATCAAAAACAGAGTGAACAGCTCAAACTCTGATAGCCGCTGGATCAGAGAACTGAAATGAAATGAAAATGTTAGCTAAATGGAGAGAATATAAGCAAATGTAACTTAAGAGATAAACTTTATTGACCCACAAGGGAAGTTTTGAATGGATATACCAGCATACAAAGATTCTAGAACAGCACAGATGTACGCCCAACATATTGAGATAAGGAATTACAAACATGAGGGTTGTGTTTAAGACTGGTCACTTCACGTGAGCTAGTATTTTCTCCCTGTTCGAACGAAATTTTCTTTTCTGCACTATTAGATTATTTTGTCTTTCTGCTTAATTGTTATTTCCCTTTCAGGGTTGTCCATCTTGGAAGTGTGCCTGATCATTGCAATGAAACATTTGACGGATATATATGAGGGAGAGCCATTCAACTTTGAGATGGTTTACAGCGGTATGTTTTTTTGGTTGTTTTTTTCCTCTCGATCTTTCAGACATATTGCCCCTTTGGTCAAGCAAGAAATGAAATCAGTGGAATAGACCACTGTCTGTGGTGTAGCAGTTAGGTGCTTCATTGTTGCATGCATAAGGCCTCATTTCAATTCCCTTGTGAGGGGAAATTCTGTTGAGAACCTTGGTCCCTTCGCTGGGATGTTGAATCTCTCTTCATGGGAGGGGGTGGGGGGGAAGTGGTCCTGACAGGCAGGGACGAAGCCTGCCCAGTAAATTATCTAAATTGTGTTGGTGTGGGAGTAAAAACAGCCACTGTACCACCCGTTAAATGATCACTGAAGTGTGTCTTTAGGTGTAACACTTAGCGTATGTCTGGTTCTTTTTTAAGAGGCTGCTCAGCGATAACCTTCATTGGTCCGTTTATTTGAATGAGTTTGTTCACTTGTTTGCTTTATTTACATCACAAAACTTTGTTTTATATTTCTGTCTCTACTTGCCGTTGTGAGAAACTTTAGCAAAGGAAAAATAAGAAAGAAACAGACAAACTCGCCCCTTTTTATCTGTAATAATAATTATGTTGTAGATCATTTCTATAGCGCCCACTCCTGTGTGAACACAGGTCTAGGCGCTTTACATAAATGCATGTACGAACAATATTCACACACGCACACACAAACACACACACTCATGCACACATTACACTCATATACGTGCACACACATGCGTGCCAAACACACAGACACCGACCATCAATGATTTATTTATAGAGACATCAGCCATCCTTGTCCAGGTGCTGTTTTAGCCACACACGGACACATACACACACACATGCCCGGCAAACACACACACACGCGCGCACATACACATCTACTTGCTTATCACATGCGCACTCTTACACATTGTTACGAAATGAGCACATACAAATACTTAATAAAATAATCTACATAATGCAATTTGCAAAATACATAATTGGATACATAGTCATGATCTTTCAGGTAATTTTTTACCTCCTTTTCTAGAAATTCTCATAAAAGATCATTTGTACATCTGTCGGCCACAAAATGCTCTGCTCACATTGTATTTACAAACTTGTACCTGTAATTTTTCTATAAAAAGAATGCCTGTAATTTCATTTTCAATTATACAGTGGGGTCTGTTCAAACCAAAATCTGTGGGGACTGCTGGATTTTCTTCAGATTAGCCACATTTTCAGTTTACAGATGTTGCTAAAAAAATAGAAGAAAAATATTGGGATTTAATTTTATTTTTAAGGTTTACTGCTGTTTTTGGAGTAAGTGTATTATAAGCAGACTCCACTGTACTTTGTGGAAGGTTTCGCTTTTTGTTTTATAACTTTACTAGCACTGTTGCCTTTTACATTAACTTTCCTTGTTTTCATGTGATGTCTAGTGGTTAGGCTACCGGACTCGTAATCGTGAGGTTACAGGTTCGGGGGTTCGAGCCACGGGCCTGACGTTGTGTCCTTGTGAAAGGCATTTTACCCTAATTTTCCTCACTTTACCCAGGTTGGAATGGGTACCCGGCTATAGACAGTGAGAGATATGCTCTCAGGTCTGCTGGAGTTATAGTATAGATTGTAAAGTGCATAGAGCTTGCTGTTGAGCGGGGATTTGTTCTATACAAATGCTAATTATTATTAATAGTATTGTATTATTAAGTGTGAACAACCCACTTCCATTTTGTCTTGTTTAGTGTCTTACTTTTTACCAAAATTTTTGCAGAGTACCTCAAGTTTGCAAGGCGACGTTCTGGCATGCAGGTGTACGAGAAGCCAGTAGTGATGAAGGTAAGGGTTTTAAGTCCATACAAAAATACATTTCCATGTGAATTTTACTGTTTTACAGGGTCCCCACCAAATCCTGGAAAAATTTTTCAAGACCCCAATTTGACGAAAAAATCATGCCGTTGCGCGTCAAGAATGATCCCCAAAAAAGCCCATCTATCAAAGATAAAAAGTTAAAATGTCTATAAATGAATACAAATGTACATTTTGTAGTATAGTCTTCAAACAATAGATGACTATAATACTGGGTGACTGCCAAACCAGCTTCTCAATTTTCCAAGGGAGGGGCCTCATCCATTTTCCAGGAACACGTTACATAACAATGAAAGCGTGTGCTCCATTTATATCTAATATAATACATGTATATGTTTGTGAATACACACACACACACACATGTAGGTACATTATATCCAGTTAACAACATGTCAGTGTGGAACTGGCATCTTGAGAGACTTTGGTATTTCAGTCTGTTCTTACTTATTTATATTTTCCCATCATCGTATTAGCCAACATAACAAACTATAGGCCCTATATTAAAAAAATGAATCCTGTTTTGAGCCTGAAAAAAGACCTAGAACTAGAAAATCGACTGTCAATAACCAGTCTGGGTGTCACGATTCATATAATAAACGTGAAGACGAAAACCATTGCTGCAACTCAAAGTAGAGTAATAACTAGAATGGCTCAAGTACACCTATTCAGTGTGAGAGGTGTAAGAACTGGGGGGGGGGGGGGGCGCGGCGCAAGATGCAGTGACACTGAAAATCTGCCAGTCTTGAACAGAAAGCTAATAAAATATAGATATAAATTACAATCACCCCATCCAATGAAACGCGAACACTTTAGTTCAATAACAAGGCATGACGGATCCTGATTCCACACAAGGCCTGCACCAACGTGCGCTTTGCAGAGAGCTCTAAAGTAGTAATCAAAATGCTAAAAAATATGCTTCCAAGTTCAGTTTTTGTCCTCTAGCGTTGCCTTCAGCTCCCCCCCCCCCCCCCCATCCCCTTCCACGAGTGTATCTTATAAAGGAGTCCTATACTTCACAGCGCTCAGACCGCCGGTACTCACAGGTTCATTGACCGGTCACGAGGGCGAACCTGTCAAGACGCTTGTATAACTTCTTTTTTTTTTTTTTTTTTTTCCCACAAGCGACAGCAGAGGGCAATTTTTAATATTGATTTATTTTCAAGGCGACACAGCGTTCATAATGCACAACCTGCATGTTACAAATGTTGCGTTATCTATCAGACTGTTACCGGAAAATTTCTGGGCGGTAACGAAAGCAGATCTTGATTCTTCCCGATCGAGCCTCAGTGTCACACATACACTTCCATCACAGCGGTTCAATTACGTTTCCTCTTTAGGATTCATCAACCATACAGTCTAGATAGCTGCACATTACACAGGCCCTATACTTTCCCGACTTACCGACCCATCACAAAATTCCTGACTTTTTCCCGACCTCCCGACCCATCTCAAAATTCCCGATTTCCCGACCCTGTGGGGACCATGGTTTTACTGGGAAAAAAAAATTACATTTTTTTTTCAGTTTTCAAAGCCTCTTTAGCATTGGAGTTACCAAACTTTGGCGGCCATTTTCTCTCTAATTTTACTTCTGAAACCGAGCAACACCTTTTACTTCAATTACAAATATCTTGTCTTCTGTTCAAGATAGATGTGTAATTTTTTCAACAAAAGCAAGACAAATGAACAAGCTTTGTGATGACACCAATAACTCCATGCCTAAAAACTGACAAGTGCCTGATCCCACCGTGTCGTGACAAATATGCATTTTATGATGTGTTCTAGGCATATAGTTGGCTGGTGAGTGCTCTGATGAAGTTTTTGCCTTCTCTTCTATCAAACGTCTACTGTTCTCATCTCTCCTCTTATACCATGTACATATGTAGTAACACCTCTGTTCTTCGACATTTATATGACCTATTTGTGTTGCAAGTGCCTTAAAACTAATACAAATGCTGAAACTCTTCTAGGCTTACGAGCATCTGCAAACGTTGGAGCTCATCAGGGGTCATGGAGGGGGTCAAGGTCAGAGAGAATACAAGCTGATGACGCTCTTGGTTCACCCGACGCAGGTACGATATCAACATGCCTTTGTTTCTGTTTTATTTCTTGGTTCACCCGACTCCGTTACGATACTAACACAGCATTGTTTCTGCTATATCTCTTGGTTCACCCGACTCCGGTACGATTCTAACACAGCGTTGATTCTGCTTCTTTTCTTGCTCTCTTTTTCTTACAATGGTGTTGTTTATATTCTTGCAGTACTATTTTTGTTTTGACTTGTATAGTCTGAAGGTGTCAGTATCGATTGTAATTGTAATATTAGGAATTTGCATGCACTCCAATTGCGGGGGAGGGGGGGGGTAGTCTCACGGAGACTTAAATTGTGTTGCAGGTGCTGTAAAACTCTTACTGAAACTTAAAACAAAATTGAGTCATGAGGTGGGTGTCAATCTATCCCTTTGCCGAGCAGGCAGGGTTGGTGATTTTTAAAATTTTTAAAATAAAAATTTAAAAAATCGATTTTTTAAATTTAAATCTGATTTTTTAAATTTAAATCGGCTTTTTTTTTAATATCGACACAGTTTGGGATTTTTGGTGGCTAAAAGTAAGTTCTTTTAATGCAAAATGCATTGTCTTTATTTTAACTAATGATTAATTTAAGCAACTGCAATTTTAGAAAGCCTTAATCTGCTATATCAGTGAATTATGGCTACAGACAAAAAAATGAAGAAAATGTCAGTCTAAAAGGAGGGGGGGGGGGTAATTATGCATAGATAAACTTGCATTTTATTACTGTGTGTGTGCGTGCGCGCGCTTGTGTTTGTCTAAAAAGAAAAAGAAAATGCTAATTTCAATTATGAAAAAAAAGTAAATTGAATACAGTATTATTTTACTACTTACAGTGAAAGGGGGGAAAGCAGACTTTTAAGCATGATTATTTTAGTCTACTAAACCTTATATCTGTTTTATAAAACCAAGGAAAGGAATTCTGAATGTTTAAACATGTAAAAACGGAATAAATTTTTTAAAAGTGATTTAAATCACTGAGTTTTATTTTTAAAATCGAGTTGATTTAAATATAAAAAAATCAACTGATTTAAATCGACCCAACCCTGGTTTTCAATTATGAAAAAAAGTAAATTGAGTACTGTATTATTTTACAGTGACACTGTTTTATAAAACCAAGGAAAGGAATTCTGAATGTTTAAATATGTAAAAACTGAATACATTTATTTGAAAAGTGATTTAAATCACTGATTTTTATTTTGAAAATCAGCAAGTTGATTGAAATTTTAAAAATCAACTGATTTAAATCAACCCAGCTCTGATTTCAATTATAGAAAAAAAAAGTAAATTCAATACTGTATTATTTTACAGTGAAAGGGGGGAAAACAGACTTTTAAGCATGATTATATTAGTCTACTAAACCTTATATCAGTTTTATGAAACCAAGGAAAGGAATTCTGAATGTTGAAATGTGTAAAAACTGAATAAAAATAATTTTTTTTAACAGTGATTTAAATCACTGATTTTTATTTTAAAAATCAAGTTGATTTAAATTTTTAAAATCAACTGATTTAAATCAACCCAACCCTGCGAGCAGGATTTTCTTTTTTCATTTCTGAATAATTCCGGGAGGCAGGCAAAGTAACCTGTCCCCTGGCTTCCTGAGCAAAAAACACCTACATGGCCACACACTCCATGAACTCCGCATGCCTTCTTTATTGAAACCAATTCCTTCATCCTTGAGCTGCCTTGACCTGTACAATATTTACCACGAACCTTCAAGTCCTTTTGACGTCATTTTCCCCCTTTTTATCCGTGTTGGGACTACTGTTCTATGGTAGACTCGCACATACCGATATATCGGTGCTTCAGGGCAGGGGCAAATAACTTGCGCACCGATATATCTTTGTCACAGGTTTGTTGAGTGAAAGAAATCATTTCAGTCATGTCTTTGAAATCAGTTCTGGGGGCAGTGACTTAAAAGTGGTCTCATTTTGAGTGGCTGAACATTCTGTAGTTATGAAACTCAACTCTCACATTTCCTTTCTCCTGTCTCCAGATCCTTGATGCCTTACAGCACTACCCAGGCTGCCCCACAGAGATCAGGCAATGGGCTACTCAGTCCATCACGTGAAGCTGTTGTCTAGTGATATGTGCTGATACTGATGAGATTGTAGTTTGGTGTCTACAGCTGTGTGTGTGCAAGTACAAGTATATGTCTGTGTGTAAGTGCAAATATGTATATATTATGCATGTATATCAGTGTGTGGGTGTGTGTGTATGTGTATGTATGTAATGTAAGTGTGTAAGTATGTTTATATATACAGTGGAAACCATATATAACAAGCCCGGTAATAACAGGGATTTTTAAAATCCCCGTTTTTTCCTACTCTTTGTCTCTATTAAAAGTTATCGGCAATAACAGGGCCTCTTCAGAGCCCAACCGGTTATAGCAGGGACAAAGGCTCGTTAACAATGTGTAAAAAGTAAGAGAAAGAGAGAGAGAGGGAGTAACGCAGTGATGGAGCAAGCCCATGCAAGCCATGTCATTGCAAGCACACGCAGCGGGTGAAACGAGAGAGGGCCTTGATCTAGCTTGAAACCTAGCAACACGCACGCGTAATGTGTCACCAACGATGTCAAACGCAAGGGAAAATGCCTTTCAATTGACGAAAAATACGAAATAATCCAGGCTGTTGACAAAAAGCAAGCTCCACTGGCAGAGATTTGTCGTCAGTTCGACATTCCACAAGGGTCGATTCACACCATTATCAAGGATAGAGAGAAGATAGTGGCAGCACACTCCAATGGAAAGTTTGCTCTGGATCGAAAGAAGATGAGACTGCCCAATGCAGATGCTGTGGACCAAGCTCTTCTGGTGTGGTTTAATGAGGCAAGGAGAAAGATGGTGCCAAAACCCCTGTTCGTGGGTACTTGTGGCAAGGGCAACTACCCATGAAAAAGTACAGCTGGATTAGTCCACAAATGCTCACTTTCCTTGCATTTCTGATTTAACAGAGATCGGATATAACAGGACATTTTCTCTACTCCCACCATCCCTGTTATATCAGGTTTCCACTGTATATATATGTGTGTTTAAAATATGCGTGTTTTGGGGGAGGGGGATGTGCATCTTGTGTCACTGGAGTGTACTATCAGAAGTGGAAGATCCAAGTGTCGCACAGGAAAAGAGCACAAGTAATTGGAGCTGTGAGAGTGAAAGTTGAAAAATTCTGATGAGAAGTTGGAGAATGATGTGTGACTTTGTATGAATGCTCAGTTTATGGGAAATTGTTAAAAATGTTTGTTCTCCTTTTATTAAAATCATCATATTATGTGTCGCCAAGTACAATAAAAAGTTGGTAAAGAAATGACACCGTTATGTTGTGGTTTTATGCTCTTTCGGGTGAAACAGCTGAAGGAATATGTTCAACATAGTCCGAGATATAGTGAGACCACTTGGTGCGGCTGTTTGTGTCTCAGTCAAATGAATTGTTCCTGTGCATATACAGTGGAATCCTGTTATAACGAGAGGGAGGGGACCGGTGCAAAATGTCCGTTATAGCAGGATTCTCACAATAAGGGATCCAGTAATAAATTCAAGGAAAATAATAAAGCAGTCCTAATCTATGAATTTGGTGTTCGGGTTTTGGGGATTTTTTTGTTATCTCCCATGATTATCATTTTGCTTCAACATGACCTCTAGGAGGTCTTACTTGATCAAAAATCGAATGAGGTTTCTTCCTCTAGCGCTAGCGATGTTGACAGCTCGGTGTTGGCGATCAGAAAAAAAAGGCTGTAGGCTAACTCACCCGCTGTGTTGTCCCCCACCCCACCACACCCTGTGGTGTGTTCTGTCTGCTTGCGCACGTCACACATTCGCTTCATCCATCACAGCACTGTGACCTCTCCGTCCCGCATCGGAGAAGTGAGAGGCATGGTAGGCCTAGATAATCTAGACTAGGCCTAGGATGGCCTATCACGCGGTGCGTTCTGCTTGTCTGCGCATACCGCAACCTCCCTACTCAGTCGCTCCGACCTTCATTGTTGACACACATGGGCTCTCCTATTCTTTGTTTCGCTAGATCACATACAAGTTCCTCAACTGGCAAGGTTTTACATTATGTATAACTGGCCTATGCACTGTGCTCAGCAGCAGCAATATTCCGCTATACCGACTCGCATGTTTGTCTGATTGCGCTAAATACTGCAAATATGCCAATTTTACTGTGCTCAATGTTTCATTCCTTTTCTATCTGGGTCACTGGGAATTTCTTTAAACGACCGAGCAATCAATATTGTCTGGTTTTACATCCATATTGAGTGAAATTCTGTGGGAGGTTGGCAGGTGCTCTTATGTGGTTTGCTTGTTCTCTCTTGTAACACCTCTTAATCTCATCTTCGGCACCCATATGATCTATATTCTATTGCAAATGTTGTAAAACTTTACTTTTAAAAACTTAACAAAAAAAGTTAAATTGTTCCAGTTGAACAGGTTGAGTAAAACATAAGGCAGACCTTGTAGCTTTTCTTCTTGTTTTTATCGATCCATCAACAGCCAGGCTCTCTCCCTTCTGTTCGATGCCATGTAGTGATCTCCCTTCTGTCCGGTGCTATGTAGTGATCTCCTTTCTGTCCCGACGCAGGTACGATATCAACACACCGTTGTTTCTGCTTTATTTCTTGGTTCACCCGACGCCGGTACCATTCTAACACAGCATTGTTTCTGCTTCTTTTCTTGCTCTCTTTTTCTTACAATGGTGTTGTTTATATTCTTGCAGTACAATTTAGTTGTAGTGTTAAGTGCAGGTTTGCTTCATCGCTCTGGTTTGATTGATTTGGTTAGTAAGAGTTTTACGGTACTGGCAACACACTTACTTACATCATCATTATAACTGAAGAGGATTTATGGTGTTACAAGAAGATAACATACATTCTAATTATTCCCCCCGCAGTCCCCCCTCACGGGATATACAATGTGGACGTGTTGAAAGTCATCAAAATATTGTCATATATCATATCATATACCAATACATGGATTTCCATCTCAGCTGATATTGCCAAGTTCTCATTTTCATTCAGATAGATTGAAAAAAAATCAGAAATTAAGAAAATGTCGCCGATGCCACTCTTTTTTAAAGTAGATATACCTCTGCCTCAGTATAACAAAGTTCTATCTGACATTTTTGGCCATTCTGAGGTAGTAAGAAGGCCAAAATTGTTCGAATATTCAGAGTCGTTATCAAGACATTCAAAGAATTGCATTCGAAAAAGCTTGACGAATTGTGAAACTCAAATATTTTGACGTCAAATTACTCCAAACTAGGTAATGAGCAGATAGAACTTTGTATTTCTGAAGTAATGATATGTAAAAACTTATGATGAGGTTTATTTAGACATCTTACAAAAGAAATTGCATATGTATTCATCCAGTAACTTTCATACAGACATGATCATCTTGTGCCTCAAGGAATTGAAGTCAAAAATTTTCTACTGATGAAAAAAGAAAAACAAGTTTATTTGGCATGTTGTGAGGTGTAAAATATCCCAGCGATAAACACATCAGTCAAGTATATTATAAGTACAAATGCACTACGGACCTCAAAGTTACCTTTGACATGATACCGGGGAAGGGGGGAACAAGACGCAGGCGGGGGAAAAAACATTGAAACACAGTTTGTCCTTGACCTTATACCTGAGTGCTATCAAAGTCAAACGTCATCTCACTCACTACAGACATCTTTTCATAGTCCTGCTTACTTCTGCCACATTTACCTCAACTACGAGTTGAGAGAAAAAAAACAGTTAGGCAGCTTATGATGAGAGCTTTGTTAATAACTTAATAATTCATCTTCTTTAAAAAAAATACTTTGATGGAAGCACACAAAGATCTACGGGCAGCTGAATTTACTTTTTTGGGGGGGCCGAAAAAAATCTGAAGGGCAGCATATATATATGTAGCCTACATTTTAAGTTAAGCTTATCATTTTCTTAGTTTACTGGACTCAGTTCTTCCTATTGAAGACTACAGTTTTCCTTTCTCAGTCCCTGCCTATCAAGGCCTGTCTAGGAAGACCATTTTAATGCTGCTGCTGCTGCCAATGTTTTCCATGTCCTTTGAACTCTTGAAATGTTTCAAACTGTTGCAGAGAAGACCTGACAACCTTTTCGAAAATAACATTTCTCGAGTCAAGACAGGAAAAACATCAATCAAACTGAATTATCTAAAAAGGATAATAAAGAACGGGGATCATAATATTGAATTATTCACTATGGACAGACATTTTTGGTATTGTTTCTACTACAAACAAGAACATACATTATAACAGGGTTCAAGATTTGCTCGACAAACATCATTCAAACATGTGGATCTTCATAAATGGAAAAACTTCCTCTCAAGCCTCAGTACGTGAAAGTGAACAAGAAATGGGATTGGAGAAAAAAGTGAATCTGGACCCACTCAAACAAATTATTTAGTTTTGTTGAGTTTTTTACATAGTCTCTTTTGTTTTTTCATTATAACAAGTTTCGTAATTTTAAGCAAGTTTTGAAAATAAGAAAATTTTGGTCATAATAATAATTATCAACCGAAACAGTGGCGTAATCAAGCTGCTCAAAACTGTATATGGTATTTCCTACATCAGCAAACTTCACCTCACATAAAATAAAGGAAGTTGATCAACTTATAACAATTCATTCTCTCAGCACATTTTGTAAAAACATAACATGAATCCTAGGGTGTTATAATATAAGGGGAGGGCAAATATTTATAGAAATCATCCACTGCAGGGTGCTCACGAGCTTGAATATATGTATTTTGTCCACCGCAGAGATACCCATCCCTCACAAGAGGGAAAAACCACATCAGAAATAACCACGCAAGCATTGTTTACGTTACATCTGTACAAAAACTGAGCATCTTTGGTTGTCTGGTTTCCTCCTCAGCCCGGATGTTCCAACTCTACCTGGCTGCAATTTATTGCAACTGTTAAATTTCCAACGACTGTAAAAAAAAGGCAGAACAATTGTATACAGTCCGTTTTGGGTTGGGTTTTTTTCCTTCTTTTTAAAACAAAGTAAACTGGCGGTTGGTCAGTTTCATCTCGTCCACAAATCTGGGGAAGAAAAAAAAGAAAAATCTTTTGTTATAGCAATAATAATGATCAGACTTCCAGATTATGATAATGATCTTAATTACAGGCATAGAGGAGAAGGGGGGTTGCAGCAATGGACATGTTCCGTCTACAGTGACCCGAACTGTGCTGACAAATAAACAACAAATCCTACACTGCAGGCACAATCTTCAGAGTGCGGTTCATTCACATTCATCATCATATATGTGTCATGACGAGGTGGAATCAAGACGTTCGTCAATTTTGGGGCAAGTGGAATTATTGGTATCATCTGAAAGCTGATTAATTTGCTTTGATTTCAATGAAATAAATATCTATTTACCTTGAATAGAATTCAAGATATTTGCGATTGAAGGAAGTGAGGTCGTCTGGTTTCAGCGGTGAAATTAGCGAGAAAATGGCCACCAAAGTTTGGTAACTCCAATATAGCTAAAGAGAGTCTTTGAAAACTAAAAAATGACATATATTGAGCCTTTAACAAGTGTCTTTCAGCAAAATTCACATGGAAAAGTGTTTTTATGTGGACATAAAAGAGGTAGCCAAAAAATAAAAATTCCATAGCAATTTCTATTCTAAACTGGCAGAAAAATGCCTGTTTCTCCGATTTCATTATTTTGACAAGCGCCTGATTTCACCTCGCTGCCTCACATATGGGGCCACATCTGAAACAGGCATTGGCAATCAAGTTTTCTCATCAATTCCGCACTCAGATGCTCAAAAAAAACCTGTATTATCCTGGTGTTTCCTCTCCACCCATCAGTTCAGGTTTTCCAGATAAGATTCTCTGGGTCGTACCCATTACTGGTCCTCAGCAGATGCCGTAGGAGGAGACCAGTTCAGTCCCTTGTGTACTTTGCATTTTCTCGCAGACACGTGGCCTATAGTAGCCTAAGACTTGTGCCTTTATGGGCAAATATTAATAGAAAGGCCAAAACATAAAATAAATATTTTCAGCTGCAGAACTATGCTGCACTGGAAATGCCAACCTTACACTCACAGACATGGTGCGCACTAGATACCAGAAGAATTTTTAACCCATGCACTTACAAGAATCTGAGTGGTTAGAATCGAGCGCTTTGTTTTCTCGGATAAGGACGAAAAATTTGGGAAGTTACCCATAGAGTTTCGCATATTTAAGACACCTTGGTAGGTCAAAAATCAGTCGAGTATGTCCGTCCAGCCCGGGTTTAGGCAAAATTCAGAAATAATTCTTACCCTGTGGTCTATAATTCGCTGTGATCACCAGAAAAGCCAGAATCATGTGAAATAAGTGAACAAACTCAGTGTAGCCTAGTGAGTGTAGGAGAATAAGGGAGCACGGGGGTATATAAACAGACGCGAAGGTTAAACCGGCCTTCCGAGCCACGACTTCAAAGCTAGGCTGAGCAGGGATCGACGCTACTGGTGGGTCGACACAGTGGATGGAGCTCCGGACCTGTACGACCCACACACATCGTTCCCCGCTCGAAATAGTGAGTATTGAAACCAACGTAGATAGACTAACCAGTAGAATCTAGGATTTAATAGCACTTATCATCTCATTACAAGCTATTTCGGCTTTTTATTTGACGTGTGGCGTGGGGGCCAGGCGGGATATCGTGATCGTTAAGACCTTAGGCTAAGCTAGACCTAGAATCTAGGCCTGGATTTAGATCTAGTTGTTATAGTCCAGATTTAGGGGTTTTGCAGTGATGGCTAGCAGGTCAAAAATGGCGATGGGCTCGAGTATCAAGTATGATGTGCTCAAACCGTTTACTGGGGAGGAGGACGTCGAGGCTTGGTTGCAGAAGGCGGAATTGGTGGCTAAACTGACTCACATTTGAAGATGTGGCCAGTTTTATCCCATTGTACCTGAAGGGGGAGCTCTAGCTGTGTAGCTAGAGATGAGCGAAGAAGAGAAGGGGAGCGTAAAGCTCATCAAGAAAAACTTGAAGGAAGCGTTTTGCGACAACCAATTCGTTGGTTTCGCAAAACTGCGTGAGACGAGGTGGACCGGGGAAGCGGTGGACGTATACACCAATGAGTTGCGGAGGGTAGGCAGGACTTGTGGGTTCTCAGGAGAGGGGCTGGAGCAGCTAGTGAAATTGACTTTTGTCACCGGCTTTCCAGACAGCATAGCCTTGGAACTGCAACAGGTGGTAGGGGTGGAGTCGATGAGAGTTGCAGACATTATTGGTAGAGCTAGGGTCCTGGCAGCAAACAAGGGGGCAGTAGTGGGTGGCAGGCTTGCAGCCGCAGCGGTAGATCAGGCAAGGGGATACAAAAAATCTGGGGGGCGGGGGAATGACGCAGTACAACACCAGTCAGGTGAAGTGTTTCATTTGTAAGGAGGGTCATTTTGCTAGAGAGTGCCCAGAGAATTTATTTAAGCAAGAAAAAGTCACTTGTGTGCTACAGGTGTGGTGAGGAAGGGCATATTGCGGCGTACTGTGAGCATGCTGGTAAAGGTAGTCGTGGGGGAGGAAGCTCGAGGCCTGGGAGTGACACAGTGTGCGTTACAGGAGTAAGAGGGGTCCCAATGATCACAGTCCCCAAGCAAGGTCACAGTCAACATGCATTGATAGACACGGGGTGTTCAAACACCATGATCAGGGCTGGGTTGGTCGACAGATGGACCGGAGATGCGGTGCAGGTATCAGCATTTGATGGAAGAGCCGTTGAATGCAAGGGGAGGGCGCAGATTGAGATGGAGGTAGATGGCGAAAAAGTTAGTACAAGGGCAACTGTGATTGATCACATAGTCGGGGGCATAGATGTGCTGATTGGCATGGATGTAATCGGACAGTTAGGAGGGGTGACGGTGGGGCAACACAAGATCCAGTTTGGAAAACGGGTGGCGTGTTTGGTTTTAGGGGCGCCAGCAGGGGAACAAACATGTCCAAGGGCAGAACTGGTCATTCATGATAAGGATTTCGATGCAGAGTTTGTTGTTGAGTCGAGACAGATGAAGAGAGATTGGTTTGGGACGGGACGTCAGGACTTTCTTGAATATCATCCCCTTGTTTTGTGTTTAGTATTATCATGACGGGTTACACTGGGGTGACTTGTGTATTCTCTTTATGTGGGGTGTTGGTTTTCATCGTATTGATCAATGAGATCAAGGGGGCGTGTGGTCTATAATTCGCTGTGATCACCAGACAAGCCAAAATCACATGAAATAAATGAACAAACTCAGTGTAGCCTAGTGAGTGTAGGAGAATAAGGGAGCACGGGGGGTATATAAACAGACGCAAAGGTTAAACCGGCCTTCCGAGCAATGACTTAAAAGCTAGGCTGAGCAGGGATCGACGCTACTGGTGGGTCGACACAGTGGATGGCGCTCCGGACCTGTACGACCCACACACATCGTTCCCCGCTCGAAATAGTGAGTATTGAAACCAACGTAGATAGACTAACGAGTAGAATCTAGGATTAGATAGCACTTATCATCTCATTACATTCCCAAACACTGAAGCCACTCAAGTCAGTATAAATACTGAGAGTACCTTCAAAAATGGTCTGCACTGCCTGTCACTCCTGCCAGGTATGCAAGGGATAATTCTATTTTCTCTGTGTAGACGACGTCTTTGAAATTACATTCTATCTTGTGTAGGGTAGGATAATTCTACGTCCTCTATGTGGACAACGCTTTTGAAATTACATTCTATCTTGTTTGTACTAACGTAGATTCTATGGAAGCGCCTCAACATTGAAAGGGTTAAGGCCCACAAGGTGCTCACCTGCTCATTTCACTGTGTAGCTTGACTCTCCGCGGTACATGAGCCCAGGGCTGATTCTCTCTCAAAGGCTCGTCTTTCGTCCACCAGCCAACGTTGTGGGAAGTCGTCATGGGCCGATTGTACAAGGTGTGAGGTGCTGGTTAGTACAGGATCAAGAGTGAGTATGTTTGAAATGAGGGTAGAATGCGAGTAGAATAGTTTGAGGGGGGGGGGAGGGGGATCATTTAAAAAGAGGTACCAATTTTTGTTGTTGTTAGACACTAAAATAGCAATTTTGAAACCAGATCACTTAGTCCCTTGCAGAACGCTTGCTCGCCAAAGCAGAAAGAGACAAACATCAGATAAACCATTTGTACATGATGTACTTTCACTGTCCAAAACAATGCTGCAAGTTTAGTTTTACAGAAAAGAAAGCGAGACTTTGCTAAACCTCTTTTACAGACATTGCATTGGCTTCCTGTTGAGAAAAGAATTGTGCACAAGTTGGCCACACTATGTCACAAATGTTTGAAGGATAATGCGCCATCATATTTATCAAATCTGTTAAGATTAAGACTGTTCCAACTCGCAGTTTAAGGTCATCAGCTGACTAAAGGAAATTTCTTTTACCATCTATGAAACTTAAAACAAGGGGTGAAAGGGCATTTGAATATCAAGGCCCAAAGATCTGGAATGCTTTGCCAAGTACTTTAAGAGAGATCAAGACTCCTGATTCATTCAAACATCAGCTGAAGTCATTTCTGTTTTTAAATTAACAATGTTTTATGTTACTGTTGTACATTCTATTGTATTGTAAAGCGCTCAGAGCCTGTGTACTTTAATCGGGAATGAGCGCTATATAAATGTCATTCATTATTATTATACCAATACTCCGATTCTTATCACAAACTTTCAAATGTAACTTTTGTCATCACTTGTTCCTCCACAAAACTTTACATTCTGGTATACCAACATAATGCCCAGGGGCTTTGCAGTGCCGTCGCATGCACGAGTCCTAGGTTCAATTCCCAAGAGAGGAGGGTTTTTGTTGAGCATCTCAGTTTTTTCTGCTGGGATGTTATTGTATCACTTTTTCTTTAAGCCTTGGTTGACCCAGACAGGTATGATCGAAGAACAATTCCTTAATCATCTACGTACAAAATTGTGTCAATGGAGGCATAGGCTACAATACATATTTTATAAATTACAATCTGGAATGTTCATTTATAAATATGAGGGTGTAGGATTGACATACAATTGAGTGTTGTGTTTACTCCACATCAGTACAAAACATACCACCCAGAACATATTGAGACAAAGGTATACAGAAAAGAATTAGGAGGGGGCCACATTAAAGCAACCAAAATCTGTCTTCATAATATACAAGAACTGAACACATCGGGATGGCGTAAAAGTTTTGAATGAGCATTGAACAAAATAATAAATTTGCCTCTAAACCTTAAGCAATCAACTTAAGTAAATGTTTGTTTTTCATAATGGTGGAAAACTAATCAGTTATTACATTGTAACTTGCAATTATCTTTTTTTGATGTGAATTTATCTTTCAAGATGAATATGTGAGGCGCGCTGACAAAATGAGTTACTTCTCGCGATCCACAAATAGGGTAATTGGCTAAAAAATTGACTCTAGGGTCAAATTTGTAGAATTTCTATTGATGCTATATAACTAAAATATTTTATTATTTCATACTCAGGCCTATGAATTGTAAAAACTTCACCTATAAGCGTGATGTACCTATTTCTATAAAGCATGAATCCGAGAAGTAACTCATTTTGTAAGCACACTTCACATAATGCATGCTATGTTTTTTCATGAACTTATACCAACTGTAACAAAATATTATTTGCAGAGTGTATGTTTGTGTTTGTAAGAACCACAATGTAATAAATATCTATTCTAATGGTGAGCCTTTGTTCTGAAGAGAATGTTATTGCTTTTCCTCAAAGAGAAAAAGCAAGACAACAAACAGAAAATATGTGTCATGACACTGTGGAATCAGGTGCCTGTCAATTTTTGAGCATATGGAGTTATTTGGTATCATCTTAAAGGTTATTCATTTGCCTTGCTTTTGTTGAAAAAAATATCTATTTATCTTGAATAGAAGTTGAGATATTTGCAATTGAATGAGGTGGGGGTTACCTGGTTTCAGAAGCAAAATTAGCGAGAAAATGGCCGCAAAAGTTTGGTGACTTCCACAGCTGTATATAGTCCTTGGAAATTGCAAATTTTCATTTTTTTTTGCCTATAATCAACATTTTCTATATAATCCATGCATAAAAGTGTTTTTGAATGGATATACTAGGTGTTGAGCCAAAAAACAAAAATTCGGAAAAAAAAGTCCAAACTGGCCGAAAATTGCTGATTTCTCAGATTTCATTATTTTGACGACGCTTGATCTCCCCACGATGCCTCACATATTTATTAATTCGTTTATCTATAATTTCCAAATTGTTCACCTCAGTTCTCAGGGAAACATACTGTGTAACTGCTGGGTGCACCCTCAGTTATTCCCAAAAATAGATAGGCCTACATGTGCACTGAGATTAACAGAAGATCGGAATGGTATTGTCACATTTAAAAGGCACTACAATGAAGTTTGACAGAACCAAAAGAACTCTAAAACTAATATTTTCAATTTAAAAAGGGATGGACTTACAATCAGGGTTCCGAGTGTGTTTTGTTCGTAGCCTTGTGTACTCCACGAAAGATCCATCTGGGCCCTTGCCATATTGCGACAACTGATCAATGGGAACTATAGAACGAGGTGGTGGGTTTCTGTCTTTCAAAGGAGGAAGTGCCAAGAAGCCAATCTGTGTTTTTGACCTGATGGGATCTTGTCTCGCTGGAACTGAAACCTCCTTTATTGAATTCTGGTAACCCAAGTGTGTGAGCCCAAAAAAAGACATGGCGGTTTTAAATCACGACCTGTAATAAAAGGAAATATTCACCAGATAAGACCCACAAAAAATAGGTTACATTTTACACACAACCACTGTATGAAACTGCTCGAAACATATTATACACCATGCTCAAGCAGGTGAGATTTAAGCATTCACACATATGCACTGTACACAAACACACACACAACACACACGTTAACAGAAACACACATGCAGTTTTTAAACACACACATGCACATACTTATGCACACACATGCATGTACAGTCGAACCTGTATAAAACGACCACCCATTGTCAAGCAGAAAAGTGGCCATAAAAGACAGGTGGCCATCTTAGGCAGGACTGATCAATATGAAGAAACCAATCCATTCCTTTCTTACTGAGGTCCCAACAGAAGGTAGCTGCATTAAATTGTTATTGTTGTGGTAGTTTTCGCTGGGGGTTTTTTTTTCTTTTGTTGCTGCTTTTGTGCAAAGGTGGTAATAAAACTAAATGTGTCAGACAAGGAGGACCGAGTGCTATGGTAAAGGCAAACACATGGGTCGCCACCACTTGGAGAACGAGTGACATTTCTGTCACAAGTTCATGTTGACGTCCATTGTTACTTTGTTACAAACTTGGTAAACAACGACCACTCATCTCACTTACGATTTTTTAGGAGTTCTGGGCGGGGCTTATGGGTTAAGAGGGATCACATGCTTACCTCACCAGAAGCTGAAAATTTGTTACTTATTGGTCAACAGTGAGAGGGGCCAAAGCAATATGATCGGTTGGAGGGAATACCTAACAACAACGACAGGAGATTGGATTTATGACGGCTCGCCCACAAAAAGACGGGCATTTCCAGGGTTATTTTGAAAATTCACAAATTCTTTTATTAAAAGAATATTAAAAAACTATAGGCCTAATAATAATAGATAGCATTTGTATAGCGCATATTCCCGCTCAACAGCAGGCTCTATGCGCTTTACACTATATATATACATCATCTTTACACATGTATAGTTTATCCAAAAACATCACAATGGGACTGAAACTAAGGCTGGTGAACTGCTACATCATTCCAATTGTGTCCTATGCCACGGAAACTTGGACAATGTACAAAACTTCAGTCAACAAGATTGAGGCTCTGGAAATGTGGATCTTTCGCAGACTAGGCAGAATCAGCTGGAAAGACAAAATCACAAATGAAGCGGTGATGCAAAAACTTCCAGTCAAAAGAGAAGTTCTTCGGTACCTATCAGTAAAACTAACATACTTTGGGCGCACCATGCGCCATGACTCACTCCCAAGGACAATAATGTTCCGACCGGTCGGATGAAAGGGAGGAAAGCTAATATCTAGAGGCAAACAGTGAAAGTTACGGACTGATGACGTACGTAAAAGCTGGGGAGAGTAACTGCTTGGCAATGTGCATGCTCAGATCACAAGACCGAACTGGTTAGTAGTAGAGACTCATATGTCGACCTCTGAAAGTCAGAAAGGGGTACAAAACAGCTTGCCCCTGCACTTATGTGCGTCCACCTGTGGAATAATGTACATCACACAACTCTTCTGTTATAACTGTTAGGTACGTATCGGGATTTAGACAGTACCTTTCTTCTACTCAGTAGTCACTTTTCGGTTACAGTGTACTACAAGACTATAATAAAACCAAAGAGCCTTTTCAGACGTGCGTTTCTTCACTCTCCCTATATCTGTTTGTACCCACAAACCGAACAATATTACACACCTTGTGAACTCGAATGCCATTGGTCATTGGTGTGCTGTAACATGTTGACCAGATTTGTTCTTTAGAAATTTTTCCAATGTTATTGCAGTCACGCTTCAGTGATCACGTCAGAAAGAAAAGTACGAAAGACTAGACGAGACACTACAGTTGCTACGGCTAACGCTGCAACAGTGTATCAGTGTCAGCGATAAAAAACAGTAGCATAAAATAATCCAACAGAACCAAAAGATTATATAATTATTAGGATAGAATAGAGACCAGGACTGCGAATGAAGTTCAGAACAAAGGGAAGCAAATCAGGCAGACTTGCAAGGGCCTGATGAAAATTTGAGTTTGAGAACGGCTTAAAAGAAAGAAAATATTTATGAAAAATTCGTTTTTTTGTAAAATTTGCGTCAGTTTGTGGAAAGTTGCAAAATTCACGTCATCAAATGCCACTTGCTGCCGCAAAAAAACGCGATGTCAGTTTGTTAGAGCAGGTTCAATTGTATTCTTGCTTTCTATCATATCCATGTAAACATACAAGATTTTACATGCCTGCATCATATGTCCCATGTATAGAGTAAAAAACATGGGCATGGCATTATACATAAATCATTCAGTTTTAAGAAAGAAAAAAAAACTAGACTATATCCATTTGGCAGTCCTCTACACGTTGAGTTTCTAGGGGCGAGAGGAGACACAATCTGAGTAAGGTTGAAGTTGATGGATGGGAATTAATATGAATGATGTAGATTTCTCTAGATCTAAATCTAGATCTAGATATAGATCTATCTAGAATATAGATCTAATGCAGAAGCGTAATAATGTAAACTGCTTGTGAGTGTTATTATTCTTTTGTCTATTATGCTATGCCAATATAGACAGCCAGCACTCCCCAACTGTCCGCCTACCATTCTTATCTATCTTATGAGTAGTAGGCCTAAGACCTAAGTTGCAGAGTAGGTCTACGACTAAGACAAGACTAAGACCTAAAAGTTAGTAGTTGAGTACCTTACCTAGATCTAGATCTAGATCTAGATTCTAGATCTAGTCCTAACCTAAGTCAAGTTAGGCCACCAAGACCAGTTCCTTTTCCACATGCCCAATAAAAGACAGACTTATATTATCTTACACACACCGGTATATGGCACTTCAGTTTGGGATCAAGCAACCCAAACACAGGAAATTCTCTCTCAGCTGAGTTGATTTCCTCACAAAAGCGGAGGGAGTTCATTCAAGTAAATTTCTGCGATAAGTTGATAAGCCTAATCCGAGAGCGTTGTCATGGACGACATTTATTTACACATCCGCTCTCGGATCTTCGTTGAAAATCTCGCTGAAAACGAGAATTCAGACACCGCCATCTTGTAACTCATTGTTTACACCGGTGCCTGCGGTGACCTGTTTAGAATTCCATTTTCCAATCCGAAGACATCGACCGTGTTTGGGTTGTTTTCATCATCTTTCCATTATGAATGCACTTCCAGGGCAAATAGCCTTCGATGAATATGGGAGGCCATTTGTTATTCTTCGAGATCAAGAAAGGAAATCTCGATTGACGGGGATTAATGCCCACAAGGTACGTCTAGTTTCGATTTCTTCTAGAATCTTCTTTAGGTTCTTCTCACTGGCCTCTTTCGAAAGCTTGTTTCTTCTTTCAGAATTTGGTTATTTAGGGTGCATATTGAATTTTTTGGGCCGGGGTTTTTATCAGAGGTTAATGTCTCAAATTAGTGATGAAGGACAGTTTAGTCTTTGTTACTTTGTCTTTGTAATTGTAGCCTACTTTGTAGTTTGTCTAACAGAACAGCAGCATTCCTCTATCCCCTTCTTCTACTCTCTTCTAATCTAGGCCTGCCCGTGCCGATGGTCCATGAGTCACAATATAATTAATCTAGATCTATATAGTTTTCGATCAAGATCTAGAAATCTAGATCCATCTATTTAAGACTTAAAATTACAAAGAAGGGAAGGACTTCCGTCTAGAGCGACCACCCCATCAAACACAATAAAGAAGAGCCCTAGACCTAACCCTACCCCTACCCCAAGCCCTCAATTCTGCTCTGTCTCATAGTGGTCGCTCGCTACGGAAGTCCTCCCCAAAGAAGCCTCTTCTCAGGCCTGAGGCTCAACAGAATCAGTCTAAGGCTAAGGCAAGGCCTGTCCTGTTTTATTTTTAAACAAAACAGACTGGAATAACGATTTCGGACAATATTTCTGTCTGAGGGATCTGTACCTGCAGAACTGCTGTGGACTCGTGCTCCTGTCCATTCCTAGGAAGATTTTAAATGGTACCATACTGGAAAGACTGAGATGGAAGCTCGATGCGCCACTACGAAATACCAGACCAGTTGGTGAGATTGATCAAGAAGATTAAGATGTAGGCCTATGAGTGAGGGAATAAGCTGCAGTATCTTACTAGGAGGGCAGCGGACAGACTCGTTTGAGGTGAAAACAGGAGTGAGACAGGGATGCCTGCTATCGCCTTTTCTCTTTTTATTAGCAGTGGATTGGATAATGAGACCGACAACATCGGGACTACGCGGTGGCATAATACAGTGGACCCTTTCCAGTCAGTTGGAAGACTTGGACTTTGCCGACGACTTTGCACTTAATTGCTCAACTGTGGGGGGAAAAGTAGCCAAAGGCCAGAAAAGGCAGACACAGGTGAAGAAATGGAAATGTGTTGGGCACACCCTGAGGAGACGCCCGACGAGCATCGTCAGACAGGCTTTGTCGTGGAATTCACAAGGAAAACCTTTAGAAAGGAAGACCAAAGATGACATGGAGGCGAGCGGAAGCGGAAATGGAAACAGCTAGAAAAGGATGCACTGGACAGGCTTCGCTGGAGAAATGTTTTTGATGGCCTATGCTCCTCTGGGAGTTTAAAAGGACAAAGAGAGAGAGAGAGATTCCGTGTCTATGGATTCCCAGTTTTATCGATTTTAGACCAAGGTATCTTAAACATGCACGCTGGACCTCTTCGTTCTCTAGCTATCTGCTTGTGACTCGCACCCACAGCCCAAGCAGTCGGCGATGAAACCTAGTGACGTAGCCCATTGCATGCTAGGCGGCAAAGCAGGCCCGCACTGGTGATGGAAGCCCTGGAATACGTTTTAAAAAATAGATGGCGGAAATGTGTCTTCTGTATTTTAGATGAAGCTACAGAGAGCACCTAACGCACACCTCTGATTGGCCCAAATATAGATGAATGACATATTTTCACGTCATCTTCTTGGGTTTCTGGCACAATTTGATTGAAGACTGCTGCTTTTTTTTTTTTTTCGAATAACTTGGATCTAATAAAGGTGACAAGTGTAATTATGTATGAATATAAATTGGAAAGGGTATTTATCTAGCCTAACTATGTATCTTAATTAGTTAACATGCGGACACTACAGTATTTCTTTCAGATGGTGGCTTTCATTTTTCATTTACGTTCTTTCTTTTTTTTACTCAGTCTCACATTCTGGCTGCCAAATCGGTGGCCAATGTGATCAAGACGTCCCTGGGGCCCAAGGGCCTGGACAAGATGATGATCGGCCCCGACGGAGATGTGACTGTCACCAACGATGGTGCCACCATTCTTGATCTGATGGACGTCGACCACCAGGTGGCCAGGCTAATGGTTCAGTTGTCCAAGTCACAAGACGATGAGATCGGGGATGGAACCACTGGTGTTGTGGGTAAGTACAAAAACAATAACAAAGGCGAAGAGTTTTGTTCTCTGTAAATACATGCCCCCAGTTCAAGTAGTTTGCGACTTTGCTGTATGTGAAAGAAACACTAAGATTATGAAACTGACCGGCTTCGCCCAGTCCAAGATGTAGAGACAATTATACTAATTGATAATGGTATGAAGGAAAATGCACTTGCTAGTCTTGTCTTTTGAGCTTTTTAAGCAGAAAATAATGTGGTAATGTCATTTGTTTGAGAAATGAGTTTTCATGTGTGTTCCTCTTTTGTCTTTTCGTCAGTAATGGCTGGAGCTTTGCTGGAACAGGCAGAGAAGCTGCTGGACAGAGGCATCCACCCTATACGTATCTCCGATGGCTACGAGATGGCCGCCAAGGTTGCGGTGGCACAGCTGGACAAGATCAGCGAGACTTTCGCGGTGGACCTCAAGGATCCAGAGCCCCTCATCAAGCTGGCCATGACCACCCTGGGCTCCAAAATGTGAGTGTCTGCAGCTGAAAAATCAGAAATTGTACAGTCTGCATAGCTTTGGGACATTCCAAAATAACACATGGATGTAACTTGTAGTGTGCCATCCTATCAGTCCACGGAGCTGAAGTGTTGAAGCATGTGCTGTAATAATAGATAGCATTTGCATAGCGCAAATCCTCGCTCAACAGCAAGCTCTCTGTGCTTCACAATCGATACTATTACCCCTGCAGACTTGAGAGCATTTTGAAACCTCTACTTCTCGACAAGTATACTGTTCAAGCTGCCATTTATAGGAGCTAAAACACTAACATACTGACAAGATCTTTCACTGTCTATGGCCGGGTACCCATTCCCACATGGGTGGAGTGAGGAAAATCCGTGTAAAGTGCCTTTCCCTGGGACACAACATTGGGCCCGCGGCTCAAACCACTGATCCCGCAACCTCACGATTACGGGTCCGGTAGTCTAACCATTAGGCCACCAACGCCACTACAAGATGTTGCCCTTAGTGTGGGCTGGGACCTCTTATATGTTTACTATATATTGTTGTAGGAACTTGTGCTGCTTGTTCTTGGATATTCTTTTGCACAACTGCTTGAAGTTTCAACTCGTAGTAAAATTCAGATTTTTTGGGTTTGATTTACCAGCAATTTCATGCTAGTAATCATACCAATCTCTGCTTCTTCCCGTACTTCTGAGCTCTTGCCTTGTGGTAACCTACCAGATATATGTCTTATCGCCCTATCTTTTCTTTCTATGTTACTCTCCAGTACCACTTCTAATCTTTAGCAATTATGTAGCATATTTGTATTGCAAGTGTTGTAAAACTCTTACTAAAAATATAATTCCGTGCAAATGTAATGTCTTTCGTGATGTTCTTATTGTTCATTTGTTTGGGATTTTTTATTATTATTTTTTTCAGCGTTAACCGATGCCATCGGCAGATGGCGGAGATTGCCGTGAATGCCATCCTGTCTGTGGCAGACTTTGAGCGCAAGGACGTGGACTTTGAGCTGATCAAGGTGGAGGGCAAAGTGGGCGGCAAGCTGGAGGACACCATGCTGGTGAAGGGCGTCATCGTCGACAAGGACATGAGTCACCCACAGATGCCCAAGGTTAGTGTTCACTTTTTTGCTTAGCCGAGAGTGATTCTCAAGACAGATGTTTGCTATCATCACTTTTCCTCTACTTCATTTGTGTTTGTCACTCTCTTGTGAACTGCTATTTCCTTGATAGTCGAAGCAGACTTTGTTCTGTTGAGGCTAGAGTGGTGAGCAGGGTAAGCCTGTGGGTGGTTGGCGGGTGCTCTGGTGTGGTTTGCTCCTTCCTTCCTATCAAACATCTATCCTTTTTTTGTTTTTGTTATTCTCTTGTAACACCTCTAATCTTCGACATTTATATATTTGACTTTATTGTGTTGCAAGCACCGTAAAAGTCTTGCTAAAACTTTTAAAGAAAACCTTACTAAAAGATGCCCTTCCCAATGGCCGTGTCACCAGAGCGTGAAAGACGCCCGCATCGCCATCCTGACCTGCCCATTTGAGCCCCCCAAACCCAAGACCAAGCACAAGCTGGACGTGACCAGTGTAGAAGACTATCACAAGCTGAGAGACTACGAGAGAGAGAAGTTCGAGTCCATGGTGCAGACAGTGAGTGCACTTTTTTTTTCTTTTTTTTTTTTTTTTTTCCTTCTCCCATTGCAATGGCAGGTTTGCCAACAACTGTCCTGGATTTCCTGGAAGTGAGTGATTGGTGGGTACTCTGGTGTGGTTTGCTTTTTTTGTTTTGTTTTGTTTTTTGTTAGCCGCTCTCTTGTAAAAAATTTGTTATCTTTGGCACAAATGTTACCTATTGTGTTGCAAGTGCTGTAAAACTCTTAGTTACACTAAAGCCAGAATTACCTGGTGGGAGTCCCGGATTTGGCCATCGGGAATTGGGAATCTTATCGCACATATATATATCTACATACTACCAAAAGCGGTGTGTGTAATTTTGTACCATCAAATCATGGTTTGTAGATTCTTTTTTCATTATTGACTGTCATATTTCTCAACCACCCCCAGGTGAAAGACAAGGGAGCCAACCTGGTCATTTGCCAGTGGGGTTTTGACGACGAGGCCAACCACCTCCTGCTGCAGAGAGAGCTGCCTGCGGTCAGATGGGTGGGCGGACCCGAAATTGAGGTACGGCTTTGTCGTTATGTGTCCATCGTTATCTTGATAGATCCCCTCTCACAAGACATACAGCTTCTCTGTCCTTTATTTATCCCTGTCATATTTACCTTCTCCGTTGCTCTTATTGGCCATTACTTTGTTTCCTTTAGAGTTAACGGAAAACTCTTTTACGCCCTACCAGCAAGTTGGTGGTTGCAGGGCACCAATCGCACGTCCTACTTCTTTACCCCTCTGTTGATTCTGTCTGTCGGTCTTATTTTTTCCCAGCACTAAATGACCATTATTGTGTTGATGTGCTTCTCTTTACTCAAACAAACAAACCTACGAGCAGGGAACTAACCTCCTTGGCTTCGTACTTCTTTCGTGTATTTTTTCTTTCCATCCCACTCTTTCCCTGGACTTTTCACTGTTTGTGTGTCTTAGCCTTTTTATTTGGTGATCCTGATCACAGTTTTGAGCATGAGGAATTTCTGCAGGCCTGTTGTGGTCTGTCAGATCAGACACCATGCTACAACAGTACAGGGCGTGAACCTCTGTTGGTGTGGGACGACTTGTTCGACTACTCTTGAAATCGCCCTAACAATCTTTGCATAAAGGACATTTACTAGTTATGCCATTGATTGCTAATACATAGCTGGAAACCTGTATGTGAAATTGTATTTAATGCATTATTGAGGGTCTGGGTATGGAAGTCTGTTTACTTTTTTTTTTTACCCAAGACTACAGACAGGAGAAAGGTTGATTGAAGTCTGTATCTCCCTGCAATCCCTGCTGCACCCAATGGTATCAGCAGAAGGGAGAAGTGAAGTAGAGAAGCCAACGTACACCTTATATATTATGTAAAATGGAAGTGGCCCTGTTTCCCCCTCCATCATTTCCTATGTGTTTTATCTAGTGCTTAGATTTAGAGCTAGAGTACTGGGTGGTTGGTGGGTGCTCTGGTGTTGTTTGCTGTCGCCTTTATCTCCCCTCTTTCTTTCTTGTGTTTGTTACTCTCTTGTAACACCCTCTAATCTCAGGCATTTATATGACCTTATTGTGTTGCAAGTGCCATTATACTCATATTTTTTTTTTTTTTAAATCTAGAGTAACTGGCTGTGGTCATCATGATGAGGTGGTACTCTACTTCTGCCTTTTGTCGTGGTTCGTGCAGTAACATGTTGGGATTTTTTGTTTTTTCTTTACCCTTACAGCTGATTGCCATCGCCACCGGTGGGCGCATTGTGCCCCGGTTTGAGGAGCTGACGGAGGAGAAGCTGGGCAAGGCCGGTATCGTGCGGGAGCTCAACTTTGGCACAACGAGGGAGCGCATGCTGGTCATAGAGGAGTGCCACAACTCCAGGGCTGTCACCATCTTCATCCGTGGTGGTAACAAAATGGTAAAACTCTCAGACTGTGTGTGTGTTCAGGTTAAGGGCTGGTTAACTGGCCTCTTTTCTGTTTTTCTGCCTTATAAATGGTTTGCTTTGAGAGTATGTGTATGGAATTTTTCGTATAGTATCTTTTTGTCTGAAACTCAAGACGTGTTTAGAAAAATAAGCTATAACTTTATGTAACCAGTTGTATGAAATTTTAAATCATTCTTTTCAGGGAAGTGTAGTTTATGTGTTGACAACTTGTAATAAGCTGCAAAATATATGTACAGTTCGTTTTTTGTTTTTTTTTAAGGTTAGTTTTGATTTGATAGAAGAGTGGAGATGGGCTGGGCTAGTGAGGCATGAGGAATTTCTTCAGTGCCTGCTGTGGCCTGACAGATCAGACACCATGCTATAGAAATGTGGGCTGTGAACCTCTGTCTGTGAAACCTCATGTTCACCGACGCTTGAAGTCATCCTGACATTTACTTAGGCATGTGTTACATAAGTCGTGTCTTTTGTTGCAAAGTGTTCATATCATAACGTGCAGTGTTCTGTAACTGAGATATATTTTGGAAGTGACATGACCATTTTGTGTACCGTGCCTACTGACTTACTCTTTACATCGTCCGGTTTCATGTGGGGTATGGGGGGGGGTTCGTTTGTCTCTCCTTGTCCAAAAAGAACGCTAGAAATGTGTGTATGTTACTGCTGTTGGCAAGCACTCTGGTGTGGTTTGCTCCTTGTTTTGTGTTTGTTACTCCCTTGTAACACCTAATCTTTGGCACCTATATGACCTTATTCTGTTGCAAGTTCGGTACCGTAAAATTCTTACTTTTCTGCCTTGTAACTGATTTGCTTTGGTTGTTTATGCTTAAATTGGGAATATTTGGTATGTTATCTAGTTGTTAGAAACCATCCCGTGTATGTAGAAAATAAAAAAAGGGTTGTTTCCTATCATAGAACAGGCTATATTTTTAGATATAAATAGTTATACTAAGCTCTTTAGACGTTCTTAAAAATAATTCTGATTCATATTCTGTTGGTACCAGTATGTAGTGTTTCTGTTGGCAACTCACAGTAAGCTACAAAATGTATGTTTAGGTCTTTTATTTTTTAGGTTAGTTTTGATTTGATAGAAGAGTGGAGATGGGCTGGGCTAGTGCGGCATGAGGAATTTCTTCAGTGCCTGCTGTGGCCTGACAGATCAGACACCATGCTATAGAAATGTGGGCTGTGAACCTCTGTCTGTGAAACCTCTTGTTCACCGGCGCTTGAAGTCATCCTGACATTTACTTAGGCATGTGTTACATAAGTCATGTCTTTTGTTGCAAAGTGTTCATATCATAACGTGCAGTGTTCTGTAACTGAGATATATTTTGGAAGTGACATGACCATTTTGTGTACCGTGCCTACTGACTTACTCTTTACTTCGTCTGGTTTCATAAGGGGGGGGGGGGTGGCATTGTGCTCTCCTTGTCCAAAAAGAACGCTAGAAATGTGTGTATGTTACTGCTGTTGGCAGGCACTGTGGTGTGGTTTGCTCCTTTTTTTTGTGTTTATTACTCCCTTGTAACACCTCTAATCTGCAGCGCCTATATGACCTTATTGTGTTGCAAGTACTGTAAAATTCTTACTTTTCTGCCTTGTAACTGATTTGCTTTGGTTGTTTATGCTTAACTTTAGTTGGGAATATTTGGTATGGTATCTTGTTGTTACAAACCATCCCGTGTATTTAGAAAATACGTAATGGGGTTCTCCTATCATGGAACAGGCTATATTTCTATATAAACAGTTATTCTGAGCTCTTAAGACGTTCTTAGAAATAATTGTGATTCGTATTCTGTTGGTAACAGTATGTAGTGTTTGTGTTGGTAACTCACAGTAAGCTACAAAATGTATGTCTAGTTCATTTCTTTTAGGTTAGTTTTGGTTTGATAGTTGCATGAGGAATTTCTGCAGTGCCTGCTGTGGCCTGACAGATCAGACACCATGCTATAGAAATGTGGGCTGTGAACCTCTGTCTGTGAAACCTCTTGTTCACCGACGCTTGAAGTCATCCTGACATTTTCTAAGGCATGTGTTACATAAGTCATGTCTTTTGTTACAAAGTGTTCATATCATAACATGCAGTGTTTTGTAATTGGGATATTGAATGTGACATAACCGTATTGTGCACCATGCCTACTGACTTACTCTTTGCGTCATCTGTTTTCATATGGCGGGGGGGTCCATTGCATTTCGCTTCCCTCGTCAAATAACCACTGTTGTGAATGTGAATGTTCAAAATATATTTTTTTTTCTTTCCTCATACAGATTGTGGATGAGGCAAAACGCAGTATTCACGACGCCCTGTGTGTGATTCGTAACATCGTCCGAGACAACAGAATTGTCTATGGCGGGGGTGCCCCTGAGATCTCCGCCTCCCTAGCTGTGCAGGAAGCTGCTGATAAGGTGAGCTCGGTACCATTTGTCAATGGACATATATTCTCTCTTCTCATCTTAAATTGGGTTGTTTTGATTGAAACACCAGACTGCTACTAATTTTTTGCTATTGTTTGAATCTTGTTCCCTTAATTTTGCTTCTTTTTTACTGCTTTAGTAAATAATAGGTGCTGATTTTCCTGGTACATCGGGAAATTTAGATTTTAGAAACTGTCCTCATTTGGGGGGGGGGGGGGTGTCGAAGTATAAAAATAGTCACAGGATGTTGGCATATTTTTAAACATGCTCCGTAAATTTGGAGTGCCTGCATGCATTTCTGTATTGTAAAATAAATTAATTTTTTTATAGTGGCCTTTTGCTTCTCTGTATGAAGTTTATATCAGTTTTTTGTTGTTAGTTTCTTTCCTGCGATGAAATTCATGCACTCAAATTAATTGAAATTTTTTGGTTTGAAACAAAGTTGAATAAGGCGTTCATTTCGGTTTAAAAGTACTGTGGCAGTTCTATGTTTAGCTGATGCTTTGATAAGTACACCAACACACACCACCACCCCCACCCCCTGTCTGGGCAAATTGCATGAGGAATTTCTGCAGTGCCTGCTGTGGCCTGACAGATCAGACACCATGCTACATCAATGCTGGCTGTGAACCTCTGTCCTCGGGATCATTTGTTCCCTCGAACTCTTGAAATCAGCCATACACAATAGTCCAGCATGCACATAGCGTATGGATTTTCAGCTCAATAAAAATATTTTTATACCTGTATATTATTTGTATTCACATTACAGCCTGCACTAAAAAAATAATCCTATCCTTTTGGACGATAAACATACCTTGTTTCCTCAGTCAGAAGTAAAAGACCTAGGCTTCTGATCTGTAACTAAGAAAGATACAGGTCATTTTTACCGTCATCCATGGAACTTTTTCCATCTTACCGTCTTGTTACAAGTATTCATATGATCTTAGAGCATGCGTCAGAATAACATTGAGTTACAATCAGAATACTATGTATCTAGCTGAACATTATTGTTTATATTACTGTTTATTTATTTTATGCATGTGGCTGTAAGCCTGTATGTGTGTACGTAGTGAAAGTAGTGAAACACCGAACCAATGTGCCGGAATGTGGACAATAAAGATGTATCTTATCTTAAACATAATGAAAATCATATATCATGTGTCACGGCGTAATGGAATCAGGCGCTTGTCAATTTGGGGGCGTGTCCAGTTATTGGTATCATCTGAAAGCTGATTCATTTGTCTTGCTTGCAATTAAATAAATATCCAGTCAACTTGGACAGAAGTCAAGAAACTTGCAATTGAAGGAGGGGAGTTCGCCTTGTTTCAGTGGTGAAATTAGCAAGAAAATAGCTGCCAAAGTTTGGTAACTCCAATAGATAAGAGTCCTTGAAAAACGAAACGACATATTTTGTGCCTTTAATGAATTTTTTTCAGTAAAACTCGCGTTGAAATATGTTTTTATATGGACATAATAGGGGTTGAGCCAAAAAATTTGCAAACTGGCAGGAAAATGACAGTTTCTCCGGTTTAGTTATTTTGACATGGGTCTGATTTCACCACGACGTCTTACACAAATATTTATGCAACCCACCAGTTTCTCTACATGGGTGCCAGACTAAAGATAGGTTTGAAAAGTATACCGGGCGATGGGCTTTCTTGCCTTCTTTCCGCCACCACAAAACACCCACCCCACACTCCCGTGTGTTGTTATCGCTTTTTTTTTTCCTCAAATCTCCTCACTAGACCAGTATGTTGAGTGGTGTGTTTTGTCCACACCTGACCAGTATGTTGAGTGGTGTGTTTTGTCTGTTTCCCTCAGATCTCCACGCTAGAACAGTACGCCGTCCGCTCGTTCGCCCAGGCACTGGAGAGTGTGCCCCTGGCGCTGGCGGAGAACAGCGGCCTGTCACCCATCCACACCCTGGCCGAGGTCAAGTCGAGGCAGGTGAAGGAGAGCAACCCCTTCCTTGGAATCGACTGCCTCAACAAAGGAACAAACGGTGAGTGCCTGAGATGTTTTTTCTACTACAGGATTTTCATGTATATAGAAATATGTCAACTATTCTTATTTTTAAATAGTTGAAAGAAGTCGCATTGCGAGCTAATGTGAAAACAGCCAACTGTGAGTCCTGCGCGCTCATGTGACCTTTAAAAAAATATATAAAGTTGCAAACGCTGTAAATCTCAGACGGAAGCTGAAGTAAGACTGTGTTCCTGTTGTACCTGTCCGTGCAAATTGCATGAGGAATTTCTGCAGTGCCTGCTGTGGCCTGACAGATCAGACACCATGCTACAACAATGCTGGCTGTGAACCTCTGTCCTCGGGATCATTTGTTCCCTCAGACTCTTGAAATCGGCCATACATTTACTCTACCTGATAATAAATCTTAGAGCGAGTTCTGAAGATTTAAAGAAGAAAAAAAGTTATATTGCAGTTTCTTAATCTATGGTTGCATATATGCTTATTTGTTCAAATCCGAGGGGGAGGGGGGAGAAAAAATACATAATGTTGTTACAATGTTTAAAAGAATAAGACAGTTTTTTCTCTTTCCTGAGATTTAAAAAAACCTTGTCGCTTTCTGGGCTTAAAACGGTTGCACAGCTTGCTGGTGAAATATTGAAAGTGTTTTGCTACAGTAGGTTGGGTGAGGTTCATAGAACACATGTACCGACGTCCACGTTGTGGTGGGTGGGTTCTTTATCGAGTGCCTGGGAGAGTAGAGTCTATGGTGCGTCTGTCTTATTGAACCACAGGGTCCAGTATTTGGTCGCAACAACTTCTTTTCTTTCGTCAGCAGTTACAGAAGTGTGTTTAGTGCAGTTTAAGCATTGCAGTGTTTTGAGATCAAAATTATGAATTTTTAAAAATTGCCATTTTTTGTCTTGAGCCTCTTGAGAATGGGAAATAATAGCCTGTCTTGACGCTTTGTTTTTATTTTATTCATTTAGGAAAGAGTTTGTCTGCATTGCATTTCAGTGATGTTGTTGGTGGTTGGCGGGTACTCTGTTGTGGTTTGCTTCTTCTTTCCTATGAAACATTTGTCATCCTTATCTCCCCTTCTTCTTTTTTATGTTTTTTGCTCTCTTGTGACACCTCTAACCTTCTGGCGCTCATATGACCTTATGCAGTTGTGAGCGCCGTAAAACCCCTACGAAAACTAAAAATGATGTTGTCTCTCATGTGGTGCCAGGGTAATTGACACAGTGGCAAGAGAGGATGTAGATTCAGCAGTTTGTCATGTTTAGCCACACTTGTCTACATTTGAGCAGTGTAGAAGTAAATGCCCAGTCTTTCCAAACTAATGAGACTATATGGATGTTGTCATTCTCAAACTCACATTTAAGTGTTATAGTCGTGGGGTAGCTCAAGAACACCCTTTGCATTGGTCCAAAGAAAATTTGAATTTTCTGACATGGCCCTGTTCTTCTTTATGGCGCCCTATTAACTTTAATCACACATATTTCAGAAACATCTCTAGCAAAAAGCGCCCTTTTATTTTTATGTCGCTATTCATATTTCAGATCAACCTACAGGCAGTATAATTGTTGATAAAGGTTGTGAATAATCAAGAATAGCTGGGGCAATGAGAGTAATTGTGCCTCTTGCCTATTGTGTCAAGTTCCAGGCAGCACTAAATTTTAGATATGTTTGTCAGATGCTTTCAATTGTGAAGTGACGTAACCAGCGATCCCGCTGATCTCTGTTGCAGACATGAAGCAGCAGCATGTGATTGAGACGCTGACAGCCAAGAAGCAACAGATCCTGTTAGCCTCCCAGCTGGTGCGCATGATTCTCAAGATTGACGACATACGAGCCCCGGCGGATATGAGCATGTAGTTGTTTCTTCATAATCAATACTGTACATGTGTGTGTGCGCGTTTGCTTGATTGTTTGTCCTCGCTGCTGTCCAGTGTTTATATCAATCATTGTTCCTGAAGCTTTTACATGGCATTGTGTTGTTGGAGCAGTCAATCAGAGTGAGAAATGCGTTCAGAGAGGGTGACTTGTCAGTATGGTCATGTTTAGTTGTATAAGTTTTTTAAGATTTTTTTTTTCCCTCCTGTTCTCACCATCATTTGCTCACCGTTCATTGAATACGAGAGCCCATTGTATTTTTTTCTGTTTGTGTTTTTCGTTGGTTGTAAGATTATGAACAAATAACCAGCATTTCTGGACTTTTCAACGGGTGTATCAGGAAGGACTGGTAGGTGTAGTGCGGCTTTTTGTTTCCCCTATATACAGATCTGTCAAGTCCTCTGATAAAACCAGGGGCTGGGAGGGAGTTGCCGACTGAATCCTTAATTGAGGATTCTGAAAAAAACTGCCTCTATTTTTAGTTGTCGAGTGCATGGCAGATGTGCATAGTTTTGGGACATGATGTTTCGATTGCTTGGTTTTTATGTTGCATGTACTGACTGCTTGTACAAAACAAAAAAATATGGTTTCAATGCAAAATGCAAGTTGTGTGATAGTTTTTTTTTAACCATTGCGTATTTCTTAAAATAAACATTTTGAAACGTCTAGTATTTTTATTGCTTCTTTTGTATGACAGTATGCACCAGCAGACTGCTCAAAGCTTAGGTTTGTAAGTCCATGACAGTGACAAATATAATTTCACTTCAAATTTGCCCTGCAGGTGTTTAGGGGGCGCCACTGGTCGGTCCTACTTCTTGACTTTCCCTCTGTTGTTTCCGTCTGCCTGTCTTACTTCTCTTCACTCAAACAAACAAAAATTGCCAAATTAGTATGTGCTATGAAGGCTCTGTGCAAAACCAGTAGAAGATATTCAGTGAATAAAAGAACAGATCATGAAATTTTAGTACAGTAAGTTACTGTTACAACTTCCCATTTTGGAACAAACCAGTCTCGTAAAAAAATATAAACCAATGTACCGGGTACAAGTACAAAAGTTTTTAAAGTGCACAGAAAATTGAGGTAGCCAACCCGGTACCGGGCTAATACTGGGGGTAGTTTGCCATTTACAACAACAACAAAAGTTTTATTCAGATATCTAGATTCTATATACATGTATAATGTTTCACATGATGGTTGGTCGTGGCAAGCTGGAAAATAATACATTATGGAATTAGGGGGGGGCGAAAATTGATAAGCACTGATTCGATACCTTACAGTTACAGTACAGTTTTACGCGTAGTTTAGAAAATGTGACTGCCCTTTTTTCTTTTTTTTTACTCCAGTCAGAATGGGCAGCTATTAGCTAATTATGAACCTTCACGAATAAGAAATGCTGAAACCAAGAGAATCCCGCCAGCTGCGCACATCCACAAGTGAAAGTGGAGCTTTCAATTTATTTTAAAGGTTCAATATAAGGAAAACTTTCCTCTGCCAGAATTATTGGTCTCAACGACTACAGCAGAAGCCATAAGTCTTCTTAACCGTTAATTCTTCAAATTCTTGTATATTGCTGGAGAAATATTCTCCTCTGGGGATGTATTGGTCATTGTCAGTCATTGACGGACGAGCTATTAGTATTAGTACGACATGTATTACATGTATATATATATATATAACACTTGACTCATAGATGTACACTAGCCTACTAGGCGTAACTCTATGCATTGGACCCGACTGTCACAGCTTGGAATGAGACGCTGTAGGAAAGTACTCGAGCGTCATTTGTGCCAGCAGTTGGTCCCCTCTGTTGACGTGACACCGGACCACATTCATCTCTTCGGCCCTCTGCCACAAATGTACATCTATTACAGATGGGCAAAATCCGGATAATCTATAAGGATAACCGGACAGTTCTCAATGAAGCATTTATCCGAATTCAGACTCTTCACTCTCTTTCCTGACCTGTTTGCCGAAGTGGGTGCACCCATTTGTTGAAGTAGTGCTAACCCGTTTGTCGAAGTGGTTCTAAACCATTTGCCGATGTGGTCCATATCACATTACATGTACAGTGGGGTCCACTTAAAACGAGTCCGGAAAAGACAAGAAGTCTGTTATGAAGACACTATTCTAAAACCCTAGTTTTTTTTCTCCTCTTTACCTTTGTAAATAAAATACTGCTGTAGCGCTATCCAGACAAACATGCGAGTCGGTTATCGCGGAATATTGCTGCTGCTGTGCACAGTGCATCGGCCAGTTATACATAATTGAAAACCTCGCCAGTTGAGAAACTTGTTGATGATCTTGCAAAACAAAGGATAGGAGATCCCATGTGCGTCAACAATGAAGGCCGGAGCTACTGAGTAGGGAGGGTATGGCATGCGCAGACAGGCAGAACGCATCGCGTGATAGGCCAGCGTCAGCCTAGTTTAGATTATCAAGGCCTACCATGCCTCTCACTTCTCCGATGCGGGGATGGAGAGGTCACAGTGCTGTGATGGATCGAGCGAATGTGTGACGTGCGCAAGCAGACAGAATGCACCACAGGGTGGGGTGGGGGAAAACACAGCGGGCGAGTTAGCCCAGAGCCCTTTCTTTCTGATCGCCAACGCCGAGCTGTCAGTCGATATCGCTAGATCTAGCGCTAGAGAAAGAAACCTGATTCGATTTTTGATCAAGTAAGACCTAGAGGTCATGTTGAAACAAAATCATCATCAGGGGAGATAGCAAAAGGAAATAATCAGAACACCAAACTCATAGATTAGGCCTACTTTAGTTTCCCTTGAATTTATTACTGGATCCCTTATAGCGAGAATCCTGCTATAGCGGACATTTTGCTCCTGTCCGCTCCCTCTCGTTATAACAGGATTCCACTGTATTTGAGTGGGTGATTGGCGGGTGCTCTGGTGTGGTTTGCTTCTTCTTTCAGGTCCTATAAAAAATCTGTCGTCCTTATCTCCCGTCCTTTTTTTTTGCAAGTTACACGTGCTCTCTTGTAACACCTAACCTTCTGGCGCTCATATACATGTATGACCTTATGTAGTTGCGAGCGCCGTAAAACATCTACTTAATTAAAACATATTATGGGGGCTCTCGTGGCCAAGAGGTTAAGGTGTTGGCCTCTCATTCAAAGGTCCCGGGTTCGAATCCGGGTAGCGACCGAAAAATTTTCTTCTCTAAAATTGTCTCCTTTCACCTCCTTTCCTGCTCTCTAGCAATATTCTGTCTTCTGCTTTCGTCTCCTCTTTCTACCCCCACCCCCTCACCTCCTTTGCCCCCTCCTCTTTCTGCAGCCTTTCAATTGCTACTCCTTGACTCCTTCTTACAGCTGTCTTTCTGCCACACCCCTGATCTTCTAATAGGATAGATCTACACCTAGCCTTCTCGGAGTAGGGCGAAAAATCTCGGAGGACCCGTGTGCAAGTTGCGCACGTTAAAGTTTAACTTAAAGATCCCTTGGTGGTCTATAATCGATAAGAGTAGGCTTCGGCCTCCACCCGGGCAAAATTCAAAATTTCCTATCAACTAAAAAGTATTAGGTGTGTCCCGCGCGCTCATATGACCTTATGCAGTTGCGAGCGCCGTAAAACACTTACCCTTCCCCCCCCCCCCCAAAAAAAAAAACAACAACCATGATTTGACGAAGACGTCCACTAACATATTTATCAGGATTTTGCAAAAGCGACTCATTGCCGAGCCTTAACAATGCATCTATAACTATTGTCTCCCCTGCCTTACACTCTTGAACGTAAACAATTCGGAAAGTTTTCTAATCGTTTCCTCAGAAAAACCCTGAAACACCGAACTGCTCAAGACACTCAAGTCAATTGACTGTGGTGAGGGGGAGCAAGAAATATCACTGGGTGCATCAGAAAATACATGTCCCAGTGTTGCTTTCACTCCCGTGTGTGGTTGGCGGGTGCTCTGGTGTGGTTTGCTCCTTCTTTCCTATCAAAGATCTGGCGTCCTTATCTTTCGTCCTTTTTTGTTTATGTTACTCTCTTGTACATGTAACACATCATTTATTCTTTGGTACTCATATGACCTTATTGTGTTGCAAGCGCCGTAAAAACTCTTACTTAAACTAAAAAGCTTTCATTACTACTACTACAAGACTTCTCCCTCAGCAACTGTGTGGCCCCTGACACTAGGCGACTAGGGCCTGGTGCAAGGCATTGATGGAGAACCGTGGTAGCTGGGGTAGTATTTGTAGTAGTGAGGTTTTACGGCGCTCGCAACAGCATTATATTAATATTAATATTAAGTTCATATGAGCGCCAAGGGGTGGATGTCAACTAAGAAGTCCAAACGGGGGATCAGGCTTACTCTGTTTACCTTTCTAGCCTCAACAGCATAAAGTCTGCTTCGACTATCAAGGCACCCCAGAAATAGCAGTTCACAAGGGAGTGACAAACACACACAAAAGAAGTTGAGAAAATGACGATAGTAAGGATGAGGAAAGAAAAGGCAGCAGTTCCCCCTACATGTATTTTGTTCTGGTACATTGTGAGCATCACATTGATATATCAGCCCATTGACAATTCTTCTGTGCATAAGAACATGTTAGTACAGTCCATGCCGGCTTTAAGCACAGTCGTCGGGAGAAAGCTTAAGCGTTCTTAAAGCCGAAGCGTGCTTGAGTGCGAAGTAGACATAATCCAAAGATTTTCAGGTAGAACATTTCCCGTGCTATTTCCCTTTGTTTGTAAGTAGGCTTATAGCGGTCCCGCGAAAGTGTGCACTGTTATTTAGACACCCGCCATGGTAGTTTTTGTTCGCTTATTTGTTTCTGTTTTGTGGTCGAATGGTAAATGAAAACTTAATTTAGACGGCCAGTCACGATACAGCACACTAGGCCTACACACTGCCTGTGCGTACCACTGCCCGCTGTGCCACTTATACTGTCATACCACCGCCTTCATCCCACCTCGCGCGTGATACACAATCAGGATTAATGGATAGCGAGGGTCAAAGGTGAAATCGCAGCCAGCC